GTTGGGCCAATTATTTCCAAAAAAATATTTGTTGCGCCTGCATTGTTTTTGAACCGGACTTCAAGGAGAAGACATGCTTTGTGGTTTTTTAATCGGACTAATTTTAATCGACCCAAAACCAGTGCTTAGACCACCATATGCCATATTAATATTTTAGTTAGTAAAAGTGAAAGGGAATAACTCTTTTACATAAATGATGAGCCAATAATAAAACGACATATGACAATGATTTAATAATGAGCTAATTATAAAACGACATATGTCAACGGAACCTATTAAGACCTAATTGAGTGACACGTGTTCAATGATCAACTCTCCCAGATAGATAATAATGATTACTCTCTCGGTCTCATTTTAATATTTACTATTTAAATATTATTTTACTTCATAAAAGTAAAATATTTAAAAGGCAGAAAGGTTACTTAATTAGTTGACGTTAGAAACAAACGTAATATAATTTGAGATGGTAATATTGCAAAATACTAACTTTTAGTAAGAACCAAACAAACACTACATATGTTCGAAAGAAGAAAAGAAGGCCAGTCTTGTGTCAAAAGCTCATTTTCTTTGTTTAAACTTGTGCCTTGTAAATATGATGAATGAGTAGTGATAATAAGTGAATACAAATCCCACACTCATATTACCCCACAATCCTTATATTTAACCATTCAAAATGGAGATTTACTTATGAAGTGTTGAGTTACTTGACTACGTTACGTTGGTAGAATTTCACGGAAATTAAGGAAGAAACATAGCCAGTCAGACACACAGACTGACCGAGTTTGACCACAAACAATATCTACATCCATGCGTCCCCACCCGTTGTATGTACTTTTGCCAATCTGAGAATTGAGATCCATAAATATGTTTTCTACGTGTCAGCTTCCCCCACCCAACACCTCATTTATTGCTACGTGTCATTTTACTCCTCAAAATCCTTGATTTTGCTTCATTTTTTCTCTCTTGGCGTAAAAATATCTTCTCCTTTTTTTTTTTTTAATTTTTAATTTTTCTCCTTCCCTCTCTATTGGCTTACAAAATACACGTAAAGGTTTTACTCTTATTTTTACTCCTTAAAAAGTTTTTTTTATTCGTGTAAATTGGTGAGAACTAATCATGGCCATTTTTTTTTATTTCCCAATAAAAAGAAAAAAAATTTAAATGATTAATTAGTAAGAAAATTCAATACAAAAATATGACACTTGCATCATTTTTGCCTCGCCATCCATCATCATAATTCACGTAATGACTCAAAAGGCAAAAATGAAACACAAAAAGAAATAAGAGTGCGATGAAGATTAAGATGCAGCTAAATTCATGATCTTGCCGAGGAAAAATGACTCGCATCGCTTGACTTTGTTGGAAGTTGGAAGTGTCTACACCTTTTTTTTTTAATTAAAAAAATGTTCACATATGAATCATGAATCAAACGGAGTTTAGATTGAGCATGATACGTGCGAATTCAGTGCATTTTATAGGCGCATTGGATATATTTTTTAATATTTTAAACAAACCTACACTATTTCTTTACTAAAATCTTATTGTTACTTGTTCCAATCATATAAAAAACATTAATGAACTTAGATTACATAATAATTAAGATTTTTTTATTATTAAGATGGTTGAAATATCCATGTTCTAAACATGAAATATAGTACCCAACTTGCACCGTTGTATTTGGCTTCTTAGTATTTATATCAAGATAAATCCTGAATTGTTTGTGATATTAGTATAAGAAAAAAAAACATTATACACATTTGATTGAGTTGTTTAATCAATAGCAAAATTCCTAAAATTAGAGGAACTCATCGTCTTCGCGGAAAATGTTGCAATAATCATATGAAAATTATGGATTATTATCGTCTCGACCATTTATAACAATAATAATATGTTATTAATCGTGTACAATTTTTTTTTTACTACTTAATTTATTCATATAACCTATCCGATCCCTCTTTTTCAAAAACCTTCTCATCTTCAACCTTACGAATACTGATCATGTATTAATCACGAAGCCCCGATTCGTTTATTGTTGTGTAAAGAGATCAAGTTCATAATGCACAAAGAAAAACCAAATTTTTTTATTATATATCATCCTAAATTTTGCAAGGATAATTGTAAAATGCTTTCACCTTTTTGGGGAACTGATGGGTGTGTATCATAGTGAATAGCACAAAAGACGTGATTTTCTAGGTTGTCTTGTCTAGCGGTTTCTTACTTTCTCGTCTGATTGTTTAATTGTTGTCTAATATTTGAATTGTTCTTTTGATTTTAAAATTGATTAACAGTGATTTTTTACCATTTTATCTTATCAACTGAAGAAAACACGTATGATTCATTGTCTTTGTGTCAAAGATGTTGATTCGTAGAATTAACCATTTTTGTGACTCCTTTTTTATTCTCTTTATATTATTGAGTTGCCCATTCTCATCAAGAAAATGACGTAATTTTTTAATTATTATTGCCAATTAGCTTTCTCATTAGTTCTAACGAGTATCTTTAGTGTTATGTTATTTTAAAACGGTTGTTTTTGTTGTTATTAATAGGATAAATATGATAATTATTCTCTTAAGAAATAATATTATTTCCTTTCTGCTGCATCATTTGTGTTTGTTTTCTCGTTAAAGAGAACTAGATATTTGGCCTAGGCAGATACCCGAGCGCCCCATCTAAATTTGCTATTTTATTAAAATCTAATTGAATTACTATTTTTTGAGGAATTAATTTGGCGTATATATCATTTATGCTATAATTTGGGGCTTAAAAAAATACCTATAAATCTGATGTTATAAGGGAATAATAAATAATTAGTTTATAAGGCATTATTCTTAATTTCTGGATTTAGGTATTTTTATTTTTTGTTTATATTAAGCCTGCAAACCTATACGATTGGACATTTAAATTTGAATTAATATATCCATTCGTTTGAAATGTAACTGATCCTTATTTGTAGTAAAACAAGTGTTTTTTTTTAAAAAAAAAAATTATATAACTTCTAATTAAAAGAGACTTACACGTGACAAAAAGACTCCTGAAATCTGAAACATGGTGCATTGGAGCCAAAACATATGCATACTTAGTTGACACATAAGCTTCATGTATTCTGCTTTAATAGGGTAAAAGGGATAAAAAAATTTTATTTTTATTCTTACTTTGTCACAGTTATAAGACAACTTGTCAAGTCAAACAATATAAAAATGTCACTTACTAATCACTTCCATTAACCTTTCCTTTATGCCTTTTCATCGTGCATGTGTTGTACAGAATTTTGAACCACCTTCAACTACTCTAATTATTCAAGTCTTCAATCTAAAAATAATCGTCCAATTTAAATTTCCATTTTTAATATAAATTAAAATAAAAGTAAAAATTTTAAAATAATAATCATTCGGAAGAAAAAAGTACTAAATTGTTTTGGATATAGTATATACCGAACTTATCATGCATACGTATATATATATATATATCATTATATCAAAATAATTTTTTATAATTGTTTTTATCTTACGAAAAGAACTCTTATTTTATGATTAGTGTTGGATAATTTACACCATGATAATATAGTTTAAATTTACACTTATTTCTTAACCAATGTAAAATTAGTTTACAAATTGCAGTTTGCTACCCTTATGTTTCCTACAGTAATAAGTCTGGAAAATTTATTCACATAAAAAGTACTAATTGCCGTGAAAGTAAATTACAGCAAGGCACCTTCCTTTTGGACCTTAGCTTGGTCTTCGGTTTTGAACTGGTTATCATGATCATTCTAAAAAATTATCTGTCCTCAAAAAATAATACGATATACATTAAATTTTACATTTTTATAATATTTTTTGTACAACTCTCAAAAGTCATCTAACCCACCCACAAAAAAATATATATATAAGAAACTATTTGACTAATAATATGGTGCACTCTAATGGGGAGAACAAAAATGAATGTAATGGAAATGGATTTTGAGATATATATGGCATGTTATTTAAGGTTGTCGCATGTCTGGTCATTCTTGTCCATTTTCATGCCATTTCCCTCATATAAGAAACTTCTTAAATGTGAAGTCTGGACTAAAATGTACTCCCTCGGTTCGTCATTATTATCCAATTTGAGTTTTCATTTCTAGTTTAAATTGTATTATTTAAATTAGAAATGAAAACTCAAATTTCAAATTGAACAATAATTTTGAAAAAGAAAGTATCAACTTTGACTAGAAGTATTAGAATTGAAATCTCAAATTGAATAATAATTTTAGAAGAGAGAGTATCAACTTTGACTATAAGAAGAGAAGAATTGCCGGCGTTCCATATCGAAAAAAAAAAAAACAATTTTATAACTTGATTTCTCTTTTTTCTTTTCCTAACACGTTTACCTTTAATTGAATTCCAGGTCTCAAACCTTTATCAGATTCAACCAATTTGTTTCGTTTCTTTTTGTTCTAAAAAAGATTAAATATATATTTCCCTCGTACTAAATGAGATTATCTTCGAAAATAATGATTAATTTTCCTGCTTAAGATTGATCTTCTAGACAAAACAAATTCAATTTTGATCCCTCTCCTACCAACTCCCCCATGATATCACGATCATAATCTGCAAAATAAACCAACGGCCAAGATCACTTCCCCTGAGTCCCTGACGCACACTGCCGCTAAGGAAAGAAAAATATCAGTCTATCCAAAAATTAAATAAACAAAAAGATAATGTTAATTTATTTATCCATATTGCTAATATTAATTTTTATTATTACATCGGTCTGGATAAAGATAAGGCTTTCATCTTCCTCTGATTGTTCCTTTTTTTTTTTCCCCCAATTTTCTTCTCTCTCTTCTACCCTCCATATATACCAGGCCCTTCGACTCGAAACCCTCTTGTCAAATTTCCAATTTTAGATTTGTTCGGTTTTTGTTTTTCGCGGTTTAATTCTCAATCTCTGTATCAGTGGTAGTGGATAGTTATGTGTTTCTGTAATTTTCTGTAATACTATTTTTCTTCTGTCAAGAGAAAATGTCAATTGTATTCGAGCGGAGTAGTGATTCCAGTAGTGTAACTAATAGTGGGGCTACCAATAATAGCTATAATCTTGACCATGATCATCGTGGTGGTGGGATCGGAGGGTTGGGATTTTCCGGTCGGCAAATGGGTTGCTTTCCGATCTACGGTAACGGGACGGAAACCGGGAACAAGCCGCCGGAGTTAGGTGGCGGCGGGGGCAGGAAGTTGTTCGATGATGATCGGAGTGGCGATTCATCCTCGTCCACCTCTTCGATTGGGAGGAACAGTGATGATGATGAGGAATCGTCTGCTGGGAGGTCGTCGGAGAGCGGCGGCGGCGGCGGCGACTCTGAGGAGGTGCAGAGCAAGCTCAAAACTGGGGCTTTGGACAGCTTGGAGGCGCTTGAGGAGGTCTTGCCTATAAAGTATGTAACTTGTTTTCTTCTATTGCGCGCTTCTTTTTTTTTTTCCTTAAAAAAACGAAATATCGATTCTTTGGGACTTGTCAATTCTTTGTTCGAATTGTTAGCTGTTAATTTATTGAAATTACTTATAGGCTTTTGGGGTTTAATAATTCATTTCTTGATTGATTGGCTGATGATCTTGAAGTCAGTATATGTGGGATGATGATTTGTTCGTCTGCTTCCCATTCATTTCATTTCTTTGGGGTGATCAACTAGTGATTATTTTGGTGAATTCTTACTCAAATCCTTTTATGTTGGGTATTTGGAGTTTGCTAAGCCCATACCTGACAACTTTTAGATGGATTATTTTCCATTGCTTGAACGAATGGACTTACATATGGGATTTTTATTTGTCTAATTGTTCCCCCATTTTGGGTGTTGTATGCTATTGTATTTTCCTTCTCGTTGGGCTTGTTTGTTTTGAATCAAGACATATCAGATGAAAGTATGTATGATATTGTTTGAAGTTTCCTGATTTTGATCGTGACTTTGGTTTCAGGAGGAGTATTTCTCAGTTTTATAGTGGCAAATCTAAGTCTTTTACCAGCCTATCAGATGCTGCTACTTGTTCATCGGTAAATGAGATTGTCAAGCCAGAAAATGCTTATACCAGGAAGCGCAAGAACTTGATGGCATTTAATAACTTCTGGGACAACAAGAATCATAGTATTGCTCGGAGAAGCAATGGTGGTGGAATAGCCAAGAGATCAGCAGGCTCCAGAAGTACATTGGCTCTTGCAGCAGCGATGGGCTGTACTGAGAGCAACAATAACAGTGATAGTTCTAGCTCAACTTCGCCATCTCCTTGTGTCCGTCTTCCCCCATTGCCACCACATCGAAGACGATCGCCGGACCTCGTTTCATCATCACCTCAAGAAAAGAACTTTTCGCCATGGCGGTCATTTTCTTTATCCGATCTGCAAGGTGCCGATGCAACACCAAATATCTCTAGCATAATGGTGAATAACAGACACAAATAGGACAGTTTGTTATGATCTTACCATGTTTTTGTTTGTCACCCTATGAATCTCAATTTGGATAGGTGTTCATGGAGGTGTAAACCTTTGTAAGCCCATTGTACTTGTTCAAGATGTACTGTACTCGGAGTAGCTCCAAATGTATCTTATAGTTTCTTATGTTAGCAATTTCTCATCTTCAAGAAGCAAAGGTTATATATGGTTCCTTTTCTTTCTTTTGTACCAATGTATCTACTTTATTTGGTATCCATAAGAATCTGGGGTTCCCCTTTCCTATGAAACTGGGGTTTCTGCATCAGTAGATATGTTTTAACATGCATGATGTGCCACACTTTCCACTTGTAAGTTGCTTCATATATTGATGGTTATGCTCCTTACTTGAGTTGCCCCTTAACTCTTTCTGGTCGCTGTCGCTTGATTAAATTTACTTACCATGTGGTAACTGAACCATGTTCTTCCCTACTTGCAGGGAGGGAACTTGGTTGCTGCCAAAGTTGATGCTTTTGGTTGTATTTCTTTGGGTTTTTGGCATTATACAAGTAGAGGTCACCAGATAATGGTGTTCCCTTCCATACATATATTGTCTTGAGGTTGCGGATTCATGGTGGCAACACTCCATAAATGACAAAGGTTACTGATTAACTAGTCTGCTAAATTTTGGATTTGTGCCTATAAAATGTCCCATTGCTACCAGTATGCTTATCTTCTGCACAATCAATTTCAGATGTTTCAGGAGGTTACTTTGGCTGTCAACTTTCTGTTGAATACATATACTCCCTCCGTCGCAAAATTATTGTCGAGTTTGAATCTTCACTTTTAGTACAAATTGAACTAAAAATAAAAATCTAAAAGGGACAGTAATTTTGGGACGGAGGGAGTATTTACAAGTTCCTCGGACGGTAAAGACTACTGACTACATGGCTTAAAGAAACTGTTTCTATGATGCATGATTTGCTGAGTTTTTTCTCTTGGCAAGTAATCATCGTGGACTTTCTGCTATATAACTATGATAGAGGTAAGCAGATGAATTTTACTTTAAGGACGCTTGAGTTTTTAGCTTCCTGGCTATCTGCTTTACCATTCAGTAAACTGTAATGCTGATTTTCCAGTGGTGTGTGTTTGTACAAATCACATCACACCCAAGCAGGTATGCTACAGTAGTATTTGGAGTACTCTCAAATGTTAGAATGAATGTTTAAAATAGACCTAACAGATAACTTCTGTGTTACTTCTGCTGACATAACTGGGGGCAATCTAACTTTAGGTGATAGCTGAATAAATAAGCATGCACAGCCTGAACAAAATCTTTTAGAGCATGATGCTGTGTCTAATTACCAATAATATAGGTCCTTCAACTCTTTATATATTGTTCCTTCCCTGCAGATACTTATCTGTTTAGGTAGTATGCTTGACGTACAACTCTGTTGTATTAAGCTTGTGGATCTCTGACTTTCCATTATCTGAATGATTAGTAAAGAAAGCACACACATGCGGAAACTTATATTAATTTAAGGTGCGGGACTCGATTCTTTGCAAAAAAAAAAAACCCGAAGAACATAGGAAATGGACTAGGTTTACATCCATTGCCCCTAAAATTTATCTGTTCGCTGCAAAAATTGGCTTGAAACGCTACTGGAATACATAGCTAATCAGCCTTAAATAACTAATTACATGCATGAAGATCCAGTTGAAATGGTCCATGCCATCCTTTAGTTTATTATTGAACTGATGGTTGACTTAAGAAACTAGGGTACCTGTTTAATTGAAATTTGAAACCTAACCAGAATCACCTATGGCAAATAGAGGTCATCACCTCAATTGACTAAGTAAAGTATTGAGATTAAGCTGAAGAGATACATCCTTGCGTTTTGTGCTGGCCAGAAGAGGTTAGGATCTGTATGATAAAATTGTTAATGAACAACTTATCAGGTCTTTGTGATCATAGCACATAGGGTTGAGCAGCCAAACATCACGTTGAAGATATCCATTGTGTTTTTTTTTGAGTAAAAGAAGTTCTCTCGTGATTAGGAATTAGGATATGATTGGAAAGAACAAGCTCGCAGTTTGGCCTAAGATGCCGATTCCTTTTTTTTTTTGGTCCTCCTTTTGCCACGTCGATACTTGGTTGTGCTGTTTTAATATGTGGGTAGGTTAAAGCGACAACAAAGGAGACTGACGTCAATCATGCACTTTAGGTTTATAGCAACGTCAAAAAGGTAACTGACCTCATTTATGCTCTTTAGGATTATAGAACCGACAAAAAGTTAACGGCCTCATTTATGCAGTTTCCGTTAAAGGAATCATGAGATGTCGGACTTTAGATTGTCACATTGTTAAAGCTCGGACACAGTAAACCTGCCTCAAATAGACGACAAATTTCACCTTTATTTCTAATGAATGTGTATTTCTTGAAGAATGTAAAATTGAGCCATGTGACGACAAGGTTAATCGCTAATGTTGGAAACCTAAGACTCTTCGCATTCATTACCTGATTTACTAGGGCTCCAAATCAAAGAGAAGGTTACGTTTCATTTCTTGGTGCATTTATTCACTGACCATTGTATTTTTTTTCCTCCTTACATGGATGTGTGACCTATAAATTGGTGGCTATGGAGGGACAGACTTTCAAATATTTATGCTGGTCATGTAGACTGTGTTGAACTAGTTTTGAAAGATCAAATTCTAGAACCTTTATGCTGCTCTTTGTTTTCAGGCTTTTCCTTGGATACCTTGTGCTGCTTTATCAGCGGGAGAATGAGAACATTCTTGCTTCTGAAGTTCAATGCTTAACTCCTATGTAAGAGGGATCATGGATCAGCTATAATGTGTTAAACTTTTTCCGGAACATGCAATGGAGACTGTTTCGTCTGAGAATTTCATTGCTGATCCAACTCTTCAACTGGAAAATGAGGCATTCTTGCTCCAGGAGTTCAATGTTTGAAAGGTAAGGTAAACATAGGCAAGCTCCTCGATCAATATAATGAGTTAAAATTTTTCCATGACATGAAAACGGAGACTATTTTGTCCTATAATTTATTTTCTAATGGATGCGTAAATTATCGAGTACATGCAACTGTAGATGCATTACCATCTTGACGAGCAATGTTTTTTTTCACTCGATTAATGAAAGTTAGGAACGTGCAGAGTATGTGTTGATGGACATTAATCAGATAGAAATCTGCTTCCTTTTATTGGGCTTGTAGGGGTTGGGGGAGGTGTTGCAGGTTCTGGGAAGGGTACGTGGATGGATATATTTGTAAGTGTAAGAACTACTTTTCTACCTATGAGAAGTGGTGGTACTGCTTTGAAGCGAGTAACTTTTGTTGTTTTGGACCTCATTCTTCATATAAGACGTGTCATTGTAGAAAATGAATTCCTGAACCGCAAAATTATTACGTGGCCAAATGTCCTGGCCTCTGAGATTTGCATGACATTAATCACAACCTACCGCAAGATGAAATCCTTGGAAAATAAATCCTAGTTATTTTATGTACAATTTTCTTGTCTCTGGGAAATTTTATCTAGAGTAAGTTTAATACTTTTGGAACTTTTACCCAGTTTTACAGTGTTATAGCCTATAAATAGTCCACGATATGGAGTTCTGAAGTGCAAAACAATTTCTCTGAAGTCCCTACAGGTTTCTTACCCTTCATATAAAGTTGCTATATTTACTTTCTCCAGCTGTTTCACAGTGCTTTATTTGAATTGATCAGTAATTGGATTAGAAACCTATAAGAAACTGGACGCATAAAGCTTTCCTGGAATTCTATTTTCTGTATCTTGCTTAAAGCTATCATAAACTCCATCACCTGTATCTTTGCATGAGTCGGTTCCTGTATGTGTCTACGTTTTCTTTTGAGTGTCCTGGAACCAGTTTAGCTTCATTTAGTTGTACTGAGTTCTGACTCGCTAGTTCACTAGAGGGCTGATTTTCAGGCAAAATACTTCTTATTTCCATTTGCACCATAACATTTTCTCCAGCACAGTTCTTTTCCTTCCATTTTTTCTGGTTCTTTTGATTTCTATTGTGGTTGTATTAAATAGGAAGCTGGTTTGAACAGGTCCTTTTGGCCATGGATCCCAGGCATTTTCCAACTGGAGGCGAGGGTGGAAATTTTCACTCAATGGACAGAACGATTTTCTCTCTCCTTGCCATTGAGCTCTGGCGTGATCCTTATGAATCGGTGCAAATTCTGGCATTTTGGCTATTGTTGGAGCGTCTGGGATTCAAAAGGTTTATCTTATTTCTGCTGTCTTTGCACCCCCCCAAGATAGGTGAATTTGCTGATGAGGCTGTAACATGCTTGCAATGCATAAATGACTTTCGGTTTGTCATTCCACCTGATATTAATGTCATTCCATTGACATCTAGCATTTTCAATAACAAGATCTCTCTCCAATATTTTCATGAGAATCGAGCCACGATGGCAAGGGAACTTCAAAGCATCATAACTGAAATTTGTGCTAAGGCTTTGCCAGATCTCATTGACGATGCTCTCAGGAAACATGCTACATTCGACGCCTTGACTGATGAGTTGGCGAGCTTGGGTTTTGTCGATGAGAAGCCCCGGAGCAACCATCGTGCTGGCACATCAACCCAGGAGAGGGCCGTGTTCATCACCTTTTCAAGGGGGTATCCTGTCAGCGAAGCAGAAGTCAGGAGTTTCTTCACTTCCCTATTTGGGGAGTGCGTTGAGGCCTTCTACATGCAATCTGTGAATAGCCCTTTTGATCAGCCTCTCTATGCTCAAGTTATTTTCAGCAACCCTGCAACCGTCGACTTGATACTCAATGGCGCCGTCAAAGCGAAATTCGCAATCAATGGGAAGCATATGTGGGTGCGCAGATTCGTGCAGAAATTCCGGAATTTCCCATAAGACTGCTTTTGGAAATAATAAAACGCTGGCTTGTTTTTTTGTACTTTTCCGTTCCCGTGGGTCTGAGTCTTTGTGCCATTTGGTCATTTGATGTACTTAAGATGTACGGTCAGTTTCCTTTTGTGTTAGTATGTTGTCTGTTTTTTGAGTCGTTTAGTCCAGAAAGTGTATTCAAGTGAATAATAGCCAGCAAAATGATGTCAGGACTGAGAATCCTTTTGCTTTGATGCTTTTGGATTTCTTCAAGTTTATATAAATAAATAAATAAGTTGGTTGCAGCAGATTACAATGTCGATTTCTGTATATTCTGGCATATTTCACACCCGATATCACTGCCTCTACTGCAATTTTTAGCACATTTGACTGAACTTTCTTTAACACCAGGAACAATGGTCTCTTTTGAGCTTCATTGAAGCGAAGAAATCTAACACAGCTTTTCCTCTTTATTATTATTATTATTATTATTTTATGTGTGATGATCGAATGAAACCGACGATCAGTTAGAAAGAGTTCCAAACTTACGTAAGCGTCACGCAATATAAGGTTAGATACGGTGGCAGCACTGACTATAAAAAAACGACAGCTGAGCAATTCACCGCGGAGTAATTACATGTGTAATGTGTTCTTCTGAGCTGTCTTTCGCTTCAGCAATCTGCTTTTCGACATACCACACATCAGAGTTAATTAAACGCCGCTGCGGCTTGAGATATTGGAATCGAGCTTGTTAATTACTCCCTCCGTCCTAAAATTATATTCTAGTTTGGGTTTTTATTTTTAGTACAAATTGAACTAAAAATAAAAATTCAAACTGGACAATAATTTTGACACCGAGAGAATATTAGTTTTACTCGTCGGTTTTGTTTCGAAGTTATTGTCGTTGTTCTACTTTACAATATGATTGATTTCTAAGATTGCATAGTTTAAAATACAAGGGCTCAACTCCCTTAGTTTAAATACTCATTCTATCTCAAAATAATTACTTTATAGTATAATAACTATGACAATAATTTGGGAAAGGATACAAAACTCTTTTGATATAAAAAAAGTAAATTTTGATTTGCAAAGTCTGAAATTTCATGTAAGTTTCGAGGTTAAGAGTGAAGGTTTGATGAAGTAGTGATACAAGATAGATAATTACTGATATATAAACGGTAAATAGTTTGTTATGATGCGATCACTCTTACATGTTATATGATGATACTCTTATAATATTTTAAAGATATGCAGTTTACCAGTAAGATAGTAACTTTATAACGAAAGTTTACTTATCCCAATAACAATGACACAAGACAGTTCTGATGTTTGTGATGATTCATGCCAAAAGTATAAAAAGGTACTTTTAAGGAGTTTTAGGAGCAAATACTATTAGGTTAAATGAACTATTAAAAAAATAATAATAATAAATGTTATAAGAACAACAACATATGGTTATTACGTGTTCAATCTTTTACTACTTCCGTCCCATAATTATTGTCCAGTATGAATTTTTATTTTTAATTCAAATTGTACTAAAAGTAAAATCTTAAACTGGACAATAATTTTGGAACACAGGGAGTACAATGTTTGTATTTTTATATTATCTCTGTCTCAAAAAATAATATAAATCTTAAATTTAATGTAGACTGTTTTTTGATACATGGAGAATATATTAAAAAATGGACAAATTTTTTATGTAGGACAGCAAGTACAATATACGTCAATGACATTATTTGTATTATGATCCTTTTATTTTGTTTTAGAGTAACCATCTCGGTGCATCATTGTCACTCTCCAATAAACACATTGAGAGTGCGTAGTATTTTGATGAAATCATTCGTGCATAATTGTGAACTTAAGATGAAACACATGATAAAGTTAAAGTGATAAAAGAAATTTATTTAAGATCACGGAATCTGTTGGCACGATTGAAACACTGAGAGGTAAAACAAAGATAAAATGAGGACAGTGCAATTACTGTGCCACTTCGGTGCATCTATGCAGCTGCTTGCTGGATTCGGTTTGAGATATGGGAATTGAGCTTGTTAATTATTAGTTTTAATCATTGGTTTTTAATTTAAAACGGGATGAATTCATTCGGGTAGGATGACACATTTATGAGTCTATATAAAAATTTAAGTTAATGAAGTATAATTAGAGTTTGAATCCTAATTTTGTTTGTTTAGATTAAACAAGTCGTAAAGATCATCAAAATACTGACCGCATTAGGCACATGGTAATGACGCATTCTCAACTAGTAAAGCCCTCGCCAGAAAGTAGTCTGCATGGTTAAGAGGGAGAAGAAAAGGCGGAAAAATGTACTCTATCTGTTCTAAAATTATTGTCCGATTTAGATTTTCATTTTTAGTTCAACGACAGTATAGTTGATTCAGGAAGACTTTCAGCACATGTTTTTTACTTCAGCTTGTAATAACATTAAAAAATTGGCCCTTCTAGAACAACATATCAAGAGTTTGACATATACAAGTTCTTAATTCAAGCTTTGGAAGTTCCTCAAAACATTTTTTTTTATACTGAAGAATACGCTAAGGAATTACAAAATTCGCTTCGACGGGGAAGCGGGCTATCAAAAGATAATTTTTCTACGATACTATCTGGGAGCGTTGACAAAATATAGACACCCGAATTATGAGATAATCCTAATTTTGCTAAGAAGTCCGCTGTTTCATTCTCCCCTCTTTTAATATACAAAATGTCTACTTGCCAATGCTGAGTAAGGATGGATCTGATTTTTGGAAGGAGGTTCCTCAAAACATAACCCCCCAAAAGAAAAAAAATCTAAAGTTGGCCCACTTGACCTATAGGCTTTGATCCTTAATGGCCCAAGTCTATTTTATCGCGTACACATTTCAAAATATTGGGCCGAAACCCTTTGAAAAATAAAAGTTGATGACTGGGCCTGCCCTTTAGCACAATGGTGGGAAAAATCTGAAAATAAAAGAAGAAATAAAAAAGAAACCCTTGGTAGTTCTTACTTCTTACTATTCCTTGCAGCCTTAAAACCATCTGAGGACCAGGACCAAAGGAGGTGCTACAATTCAACGAAAGATCTTTTTCAGTTTTCCCATCCATCGATTTTTGCCGCCTTAAGCCCATCAAATAGCGATTGAGGTCTCTATAATCGAGCGAAAAATAGTATTTTGTCTAATTGTCCCACCTATTAAAGTGCATACAAATTAGCTTATACTCCCTCTGATTCTTATTATAAGGTATTTTGATTTTGTCTTAAGTTAATCTAAGATATTTTTTTAATTGGAAAAAAACCTTAAAAATATATTTTCATATTCGTTGTGTTTTCTAATTGTTATAAATATTTTTAAGATTTTTATTTCAATTAAAAATGCATCATAAGTGAAACCAACGAAATCAAAATGTCTTATAATAAGGAGCGGAGGTAGTACAACCTTGGGATTTCAGTCTCTTAAAGCTGAAATCTTTAGTAACCATTGATCGTAATTTTATATCGGGTTGTTATTTATATGGTTGATGAACTTCCCCTGCTATTTTTACTTCTTGTTTGTTGGATTTCAATTTGATTCTGCCGATTTTTGGGATTTCAATTTATGATTCCACTCAGGTGAAAAATTCGGGTTGAATATGGATGAGGGTCCGACTGGATGGGTGCCCACTTCATGGGAGGAGCTTTATAACGTAAAGTTGGTGCCTTCAGAGTTGTTTGTCAAGTTCAGGAAAGAATTCGAAAGGTTTCGTGCTGGCGTCGATTTGGGATATTTTTTGCTTCATTATTCTGGCATTTCATTGTCGGGCAGTTCCTTTTTGGCACTGCTTATAGTAGTGATTGTTTTGGTTTTTTATTTATCTCTGTTGTGTTGATTGTAATTGGATTGTCTGGAAATACTGGAATGTAACTTTTAATTTAACGAGTTTTGTTTGATCAAGTGGCAATCATATGTTTGTGGTTATTAACTGCTTTTTGAGGCCATGATAATTGAGAATACTTTATTTGTGCTTCAGCCAATTACTGCACTCTTAGAGAAAGGTTGAATCTTTTCATCATTGTTCCATTTGCTTGAATTCGTTCTTCTTTTTGTGATATTAACTTGCTGGCTCCTGATGATATCGACAATGTTAGAAGCTATGTCGGGCAAGATTCCTGATCTCTAATGCATACTTTATTTTCAGATACGCTGAATCGGACGTTTTTGATTGGTTTGAAATTCTGGAGTCAGGTATGAATTTATGTCCTCTTGCTGCACCTTTTGTTTGATATTCTCATATTCTGAACTTCTGCATATATTCTTTGTGGGTGTTCAACTGTTCATGTTCTAGTGCCTGGCAGAGATTAGAAGTAGGATTTTGGCATGAAAATGATAGGGCGCACGACAGACAGCAGTATGATTCTTGTTGCCCTCTGGCTTTACTCCATGACTGAACCATAGAAAACTTCCATACTATGGATAGAAAACTTTATTATCTCCTTGCTGTTGAGCTCTGGCGTGATCTGTATGAATCTGCGCAAATCCTGTCGTTTTGGCTATGGATTGAGCAACTAGGATTCAAAAAGTTCATCTCATTTCTGTTGTCTTTGCACCCTCCGGAGATAGATGAATATGCTGATGAGGCCGTAACATGCTTGAGATGCATGAAGAACCATCGGTTTGTTATTCGTGCTGAAGGTAACGTCCTTCCATTGACTTCTAGCCTTCTCAATCACAAGATATCTCTCCAATTTTTTCATGAGAATCGAGCCACCACAGTGAGGGAACTTCACAAGATTGTTAGTGAACTCTGTGTCAAGGTTTTACCAGATCTTATAGAGGATGCTTTCAAGAAGCATGCTATATTCGATTCCTTGACTGATGACTTGGCCAGCTTGGGTTTTGTTGATGAAAAGTCCGTGAGAAATCGTCGTGCTGGCACATCAACCGAGGATAGAGCCCTGTTCATCACCTTTTCAAAGGGCTATCCTGTTAGTGAAGCAGACGGTAGGGGTTTCTTTGCTGCACTTTTCGGGGACTGCTTCGAGGCTTGCTACATGCAATCTGCAAACAATGCTCATGACCAACCCGTCTATGCTAAAGTTGTTTTTAGCAGCCGTGCAACTATCGACCAGATTCTCAATGATGCTGCGAAAGCGAAATTCAAAAATCAATGGGAAGCATCTTTGGGCGCGCAAGTTCATGCAGAAATTCAGGACTTCCCAATAGATGATGATTTTGGCGAAGAAACTCTGGCTTATTTGTACTTTTCCTTTCCTATATGTTTAATCTTTAGTCTGTCTTGACTCTTTGAGTCTTGTTTTTAGTCAAAAAAGTGTACTGGAGTGAATGCCAGCACTGATGTAAAACTGCATGCATATTGTTTGATGCTTTTGGAATTCAAGTCTGTCTTTAGTTATGAAATCAGTTGGTTGCAGCGGAGATTACATATGGATTTCTGTTTTTGTTATACTTCAGAACACATTTGAAAGAACTTGTTCTAACAGCAGGAACAACTATCACACATTCGAGTTCTACATATTTTTCCGCAAGCGGCTTGGAACTTGATTTCTACTTTTACTGAGATTTTAGATTTAATACAGGTGATTAAGTTAAAGAAACGGAACTCATTGTGTAAAAGACAATGACACCGAAATTTAATTGTGTAGTTTCTTTTTCTTTTTATCTGGACAATACGATCTTTTTCATTGTACCAAAACAAAATGACAAAGTCAGTCTTTCAAATTTAAAACCATCTCTAGCAGACCCTATCAAGAGTTAGGAATGCTGTACACTTGTTTATTTAATTTGTCTTCAGAAATACAATAGTTCTCTCCATTGATGTTGGGGTTATATACTTCTAGGACGAAAAATTCCAAAAGCAAAACATGTACTAAAAATTAATTAATACTAGACCTTTTTTTTTAAAAAAAAAAAAAAAACTAGACTTGTTTGATAAAACCACTTAATACTTAAAATTATTGGATTAAATTTTTTTTTTTATTTCAGCATGTTTGATAATAAAAAATGAAACTCTTAGTAAATTAAATGTTGCTGAAAGTGCATTATAAAATATAAGAAATAAAATTAATTACTTATTCCGTAACGAATTAATGAATTCAGTATTTCTAATTCATAATTAACCGATGAAAATCTGAAATCTTACAAAGGGTAAGCCCCACTGTTCAAGGAGGCTCTTATAGTTGGGCCTAAATCCATCCCATGGCGTAGATATTTTAAAATATTGGGCCAATTCCAATGAAAGATAGTGTTTAAAAACTGGGCCTGGCCTGAAGCTTACGAGCTCAATGGCGGCAAAGAATCGAAAATAGAAGAAGAACCTCAGCAATAGATTCCAATCTTGTTCTCCATCCAAGCGGTCGCTGTAATTCGTAAAAGAGCCTGAATAATAAGGTACAGTGAAGCTGATAATTTCTTCACTCTCGATCTTAATTTTGGATCGGTTTGTATGTTTGATGAACTTGCCTTGCTAGTTGTTTCTCCTCTCGTTTGTTAAACTGGAATTTTAATTTGGGATTTATGCAGGTGAAAAAAAATTCGGATTGAATATGGATGATGGTCCAACTGGAGGGGAACCCACTTCATGGGAGGAGCTTTATAATATAAACTTGGTTCCTTCACAGTTGTTCGTCAAGTTCAGGAAAGAAATTGAAGGGTTTCGTGTTGGTGTCAATTTGGAGGTAATTTCACGTTGTTATTCCGGCGTTTTATTGTCATTCAACTTGCAGTTCATTTCTTCTTTTTCGCAGTGATTTTGAATAATTCTGTAGGGTTTTTTTTTCGCTTAGCTCTGAAATGTGCAGTTTGTAGTCCGAATATGTGGAATGTTAATGTGCATTTGTATTCAGTTTGGTTTGATTAAGTGGCCAAATATTTCAGTTTGTGGTTACTAGCTATTTTTTGTGAACATGAAAACTGATGATGGTTTTACTTTTACCGTAATCAGCCAAGTTAACATTGAACATTGCTTTCTTCGTCGAATAATGTGGTTTACCCTATCTTTAAACTCATTGAAAGTGGTTGGCTTTTTCCTATATTGTTCCAATTGCTGGAATTTATTTTAGTTTCTGGCTACTATAAAGATCTAGAATGAAAGCTATGCTGGACTGGATTACTGGATATCTGATTTCTGCCCCCCATACTTTATTACTGGATATGCTGAATCTTTCGTCCTTGGTTGTTTGTAATTCTGGGTTCAGTATGTCTAAATTTTTGTCTTGCTGCACATTTCGCTAGATATTTTGTTCTTCTGGATATCTTCTGGTGGGTGGTCATGTTCTTATCATCTGGCAGAGATTAGAAATAGGATTTTGGAATTGATAGGGGCATATGACCTATGGCGGTATAATTCTAGTAGCCCTCTGTCTGTTCTCCTTGATTGACCATAGGTGCCGAACTCTTAAGATGTGCAAATTATCTGTAAACCTCATCTGTGAACCTAATCCTCCGCAATGCATGAAGAATCGGCTTTTGAGTATATAGTATGATTGCTATAGTACAAATTTTTGTGAACTGAAATATGAATGTCATTTTGTACAGTATTTTGATTGACATTTCAGTGGTTTTCCTAGCATGGCTCAAAACTCCTATGAAAACTGGTTATTTCATTGAGAGCAAATGAGGAGTTTTGGAGTTTTAGTTATGGAATTATAGTGTCTAAGTTGTTCCTTCTGTTAGGTGCATGTTTATTGGAGTGACATTGATAAAATGACATAAAGTTACTGGGGACAGGTTTTGGTTTCTAATTGCAGCTTGATTACTTTTGCGCCTCTTTGAAATACATCCAAGATAGCTTGTCTAAGTCTTTGTCTTCTGATTTTGACCTCAGTTCTACAATGCTCCAGCAAACGATTACCATGCAAAGCTGGTATTGAAGCCTTTGGCTCATGACAAAAAATGGAAGTTTATGTATGAGCCTTTAGCTCAGGATGTGCGGCTTATTTCAAAGAAGATTCCGATAACTAAGTTCCTGAACCTTCAGGTTGATGCTTTTTTCATTTCTAGTCCATTATACTTTCCTAGTCTTAAGCAATCATGTGCTAGATTTAGCCTACCAAATGTTTGTGTGATGCAGGTGGGAATAGGCCATAGCTTTCAATTGCATGCCACAGGTTGGAAGTGGAAGCTTACAACTTGTTTGGGTGGAGATGGAGTGTCTAGAATTCGGAACAAAACAACACTCGGCTTGTGTCCTGGTTTGGATTTCCGTTTCGGGTGGAGAGCAGATTATGTGTTTCCAGAAATTACTGGGTAAGAAAATCTCTTCAATATGGTTTCCTCTTGGTGTTTTTTTTAAAAAAATTATTATTATTTTTTTCTTTTTTTTTTTTTGTAAAGAAAAATCTTTCTTCCTATCAATTACTTGCAGATGTTAATCAGCAAATTTTGTTTTTTGATGATTTTTTACATATGTTTATGAAATGATCCGTGAATATTGGGGTTTCTTCTTCAGGGCCATGGGAACTGGTGAACCTCTGTTCAACATGAACTCTGGAAAACTACAAGCATCACTAGACAGAATTGAGACCATTTTTACACATTCCACGTAGCTGATGTAAAATGATTGTGAACATGGTAGATTTGGATCCCAAATTTTCGAGATGATCTGTGTTTATTTGGGCTGTGTGCTAGTATATAAAACGTCTGCTTCTGCTGATGAGCTGATGTTCTTGTCAAACACCAACAACAAGAATGATGTGAATTTTTGCAGAAACACCTGCACCTTGAATTAGTAAAAAAATGCGTGGATGGTAACATCTTTGAACCTTCAGCGTTCAGATTCCTACTCGAACCACCCGCCAAAACGATGTCAAGAAACAAGATTCTTATCTAACATGGCATCCGTTAAACACTTGTCAACCGCATGTGTATACACTTGATAAATAAGTCTGGTTTCGTCTTTTCAAATTGCGACTCAATCTCAATCTCAGTTCTAAGAGTGCATTGAGCACCAATCCTCTAGCTTCAGATGAGAGAGAGCTCATTCATCTTCTTGCATAATCATTAACTTCAGCAAGCTGATGCTCGTCCATTTCATCCAACCATTCGGAAGCCTTCCTAATGGCAATTTCAGCCCTCTTTTTCTCAGCAGGAGACATGTTCTTACGGTCTATGTTATCCCTCACCTGACCTACATATTCGCCAAAGGCACGCCTCTCCCTCGCACTTCCTTTTCTGCTCTTCGTCGTCATCTCTATGCTTGTCGGCTTCTCTGATCATCTTCTTGATTTCATCTCACGATAGTCTTCCACTCGCGACAGAAATGCTCTTCTCTTCACCTGTACTTGTCTCCAGGGCAGAGACGTTCAAGATGCCGTAGGCTTTCAAATCAAAGTTGACCTCAATCACGGGGACTCCACTGGGTGCTATTTGAATGCTGGACAACTCAAATTCGCCTAACACATAGTTCTCGGTTGCTGTTGCTCTCTCACCCTCCAAAATTCTTTATCTCTGGCGTCGGATTAATTAGTAGTCGCCGTAGTATGCATGCATTTTGCTCTGGTAGGGATGGCGGTATTCCTAGGAATCAAAACCTTCATCACATCTCCTTTTAAGTCCAATACGTAGGGACAACGAGGTGACTTCCGCAAGCACAATGTCCTGAATCTTCTCACTGCACTGACCACTCAAGGTTGAGGCCAGAATAGCTGCGCCGGAGGCAACAGCTTCATCTGGATTGATGCTCCTGTAAAACTCCGTGTTCATCATATCCTGTAGCATCTGCTGAAGCTTCGGATCATTCTGCTCGAACCACCCACCAGGACAACCTCTTTCACATCATTCTTGAGCCAGGAGCTCTTGCTTTCAAACGAGAAATCATAACCAAACTTAGGAAGAGTAATGAGCTTGCATTGCATCTAGTTAATTAATCGGGAGGTTAGAAAGGTCGACAACTGAGTCGAGGGGAATTTCAGCTACACGGTCTCCGTATCTCGTCGTTTTACTCGTCGGAACAACATTCCGATGATTAAATTGACGAAGGTATAGCAACGTCGCGTTTAAACCCTAGTCATCGGGCACAAAAGCTCAACAATTAAGTGGACGAAATTTCTACAAGAATGTCTCTGCATCTCCATCGGTTTACTCAGATCGCGTTCAAACCTTTGACAAAGAAGTCAAGAAGTTTCAAGAACGATATCTTTGCTTTGCATCTGGTCTACTTAGTCATCGGGATAAAAATTTTGACGAATTAATCGATAAACAATGTATTTGATTCCCGTCGACTTACTCGTCATGTATTATAATATCGACGAAATTTTAACTATTGTATTTACGTCTCGTCGACCTGGGCATTAGGCTAGAAATCTCGACGAGAAAGTCAAAGAAAAATTCAACATGAATGTCTTTACATATCTGTCCAGAAGAATGTATAATAAAATTGAGAATAAGGGGAGAAAAAAGAGAAAAAAGGTCATTAACATTAACGGCTTTTTCCTGAATCAAATTTGAGTTCTGTCCGCATACACTTGACTAACAAATTCTGAGTTCAACTTGTAAAGCCTTCTACCCAAAACTAACAATAAAACAAGACAGAAAATAAAAAGTTCCATTAGTGAGCAGCAACTCTCTTGCTGGCAGTCTTTAGATGAGAGCCAGTTCCTTCATCTTCTCAACATAATCATTAACTTCCGCAAGCTCATCCATTGCATCCAAAGACTATTGAGCGACTTAGTCAACAAAGACTATTGAGCAGGTTGTTGATACTACATTTATAAGACTGTCTGGAAACTAAAGGGTCATATCCATTAGGCTTCCTGGACGGTTGATAGACCAATTCATTGGCTCTTGTATTATCGTCACTATTCCTTGTATCTATACATGAAATTCGTTGGCCATCCAAGATTCAGTCATAGAGAAATGAAAAGTGTCTATTGGAACACCAAGCGTACAACCGTTAGTGTTACCCCAATGAATTAATCAGAACCCAAAAGATTGATCACTTAGAAGAATCAATATCCGTGATCAACAGAGGGAGTTCACTTTTGCCTTGGATAGTTTGATCGGTGCCCACCATTGATGATGTTCAGGCTTCAGACGCTCTTGATATTTGTACCTCAATTTTATAAAAAAAAGTTTTAAAGTTCAAACTTTCTGTCGGTCCAATGCAATAATCATTACAAAAATGAGAAGATGCCCTCCCTTATCAATGAGTTTGGATTTTGTTGTGTTTGCATTGTTGTAACTTTGTAACAATCTTCAAAGTTTTATTACTCCATATGTTCTATAAAAATAGTCAATATTATGCTTTTAAATCTGTATAAAAAAATATAAAATTCAAAAGTCAATCGAAAATATTTTATAACAATAAAAAAAATAACAAGCATTTTTTTTATTTATTACGAGATGTCGATTGTATATATGGGCGTCTGTGTCAGTCGATGTTAATTATTGTTACCTTGAAGTTTAAATCACAGAAAATGAACCTTAATGGAAGGAATTATTCGTAACACTATTTCAAATTATTAAAATTTAGTTGTACCAAGAAATTATCATTAAACATGGTCATGGAAATTGATGATGTTTTTCTTTTTTCACTCGACAAAAACAACTGGGTCCATCCTCCCTAGCCGTTGAAGGTGCAGTAAGTAGTACTAGTAAGCAATACTAGTGTATTTGGGCCTTTTTTGTTCAACGGCTACCCAAAATTTTGCCGCCTATAAAATGTTCAAAATTTATTCCTTCAAAATTCCTCGTACACAAACAAAACCAGACAGATTCTTCTTGTTCAAACCTTCAAAATTCAAACAGAAACCAATTCAAAAAAAAAAAAAACAAAATGGCTTCTTCCAAGCTCAGAAGTTCGTGTTCTTTCCCAAATGTTCTCCTCTCATTCTTGAACTTCGTTCTCTTCTTACTCTCTGTTTCATCTCTGGCTCCCATAGTCTTCCTCAAACTGCCTCCAACTTCTCTGGGATGGGCACTAATCATGGTTTCAACCATCTCCATTTTCTCTTCTTTCATCGGATTCTACTCTCAGCTCACCCACTTTTGCTTCATCACCCACGTTTCCCTCCTCCTGGCTTCATCCATCGGCCAAATCCTCGCGATTTTCGCGCTTTTCACCAGGGAGAAATCGAGCATTTCCGCGCTGAAATCGCCGAGGGATCCGAGAGAATCGAAGCTTATGGTGAGGATGGAATGTGGGATTTTGATGGCTATGTTTGTGATGCAATTGGCTGTCCTAATGTTGACTTGCGCAGTGCATAGCTGTTGGGTCAGAGAGTATGAAGGGTTAGAAGCTGAAAGAGAAGCCATGGACAGGAAAAGGAGTATGAGGATTGCTAAAGTTCAGGAGGAATCCATGGCTAATGCAGCTAAATTGGCTGAGATTAAATCCAAAGAGTTTGATGAGAAGCTGAAGAGCAAATATGGGCTGTTGGTCAAAACTGATGCTGAAGTCTAAAACTCTTGTGATTTGAAGTATTTGCTATTGGTTTTTTGGTTTTGGTTTTTGAGTTTGTTGTATTGATTTTGTAAGGCCTTTATATTTTTGGGTCACTAGGGGGTGGCTAGAGCTAGATTATAATCAATCATCTTGGACAGTAAGAGTGGCCGGTGTGAATCAATTTAATACAAATTACAAATTTTATTTGTTTTTTTTTTTAAAAAAAAAAGTGAATACTAAAAAGGTCGATTTTGCATATGAAATTTCTCATTTGAATAAAATATGGAGAATGGCGTGACGGGAGGTGGTGGATCCTAGTCATCCACACGTTACAGAGAAAATGTGGGGACTTCAATCAATGATCAAAATCCCTGTCACAAAAGACCAAAGCCAGACAAGAAAAAGAGAAAGAAATAAATGGAGTAGTTTTATTCAAAGAAATTAGAAAAGAAAAGAAAAGAAAAAGAGACAAAATCCAAGAAACGCCAAAAAGCAATCTCCATGACTCCAATTATGGCTGCAAATCAATCCATACTTTTGTAATCCCACACAGAATTTCAGGTCCAGAAAGAAGTCACGTAAACTAGTACTACTACTGCATTCCTATCCTTGAATTTGTAAACGTAATGTCACACCGTGGGAGCATTCAATATCGATCACACCAAGTTACTGGATCATAAATCCATGACCAAAAATCCATAATAATGTAGCAGAACCTTCAAGTAACAGACCCCAGCAGGGCATCATCCCACCCACCTAGAAGAAGTATTATTATTAATTATAGCTTAACTGGAACAATCTTGTAGATCAAATCATTTTTTATTTATTTATTTTTTTGATGTACCATTATAGGTAGGATCAGATCATTGGCTTTAATCTATTATCCAACATCAGATTGACTGGTAGGCTGGAAGCCATGTAAATCTGGTTTCATGTTCTTAAACTCAAGCACTTTGGAACCTAACTATTACTCCATTTCCAGACAACCATTTTGGTTCTTGTTTTTGGCCTTTGGCAGAAAAACATAGTTTGACAGAGTATAACAAAGTTATACTACATAGATTTTGTATGTGTTCAATCTTTATCTTGTCCATAATCCTAAAGGGTTTAGCGACAAAGAGGTTGTAATGTCAGCAGTTACCCTACAGAGGCCTGGTTTCTTGATAAAACTTCCTTGCTGCGGGATCAAAACTCTGAATTGCAAGCAGAGAATTTCATATTCTTTGAAAATGTAAGACATTTCCCTTACCTATTTTGTATTGAATGGCGTTTTGTGATGCAACATTTGCACTGAGCAGCAGCTACATTCCTGAACTGTAACAGATCAGCGTATTCGGGTTCTTCAGAAACATGGCAAAAGCAACTGGAATCCCCAAAAGGGCATGCAGAAGCTTCAGTACTTCCTCAATTTGAGCCACTTAACATCACTACTCCATCAAAGCTCCAATTTGACAGGCTGCAACAAGTTGAGGATCATGGACTAACACAAGAAAACAGGCTGGAATTCGGGCAGTTTGTCGCCCGTGAGGCTTTTCTTGATGAGGAATTTTGGGTAGCAGCTTGGCTGCGAGCAGAGAGCCTCTGGGAAGATAAACTCCATGACAGGTATGCAGAATGCAGAGGTCGAGATAACGCAAAATTCCTGGATCTGAATTGTCAAGTAGTATTTGTTACTAAACACAATGAGCAGAAGTATCTGTAAAAGAAATAGATTCTGCAGATTGATAAAAGTGGACATAATTTCTTAATGAACTTCACTAACTGTAGCTTTTTTTGAACTCCTGAGACAGATTTGCTGACAACTACAAGAGAAAGTTTGCCGAGCAGGTACCATTCTGTAGCCTGTGACATGCAAACAAATCAAACTTTTTTAGGCTTCTGAATTTGATAACTTATTGGAGCAGGAATTTAATGCACTGAAAAGGAGATCTAGAGCAAAATTTGGAAACAGATCAACCTGTGTTGTGGCAGTAAAGAAGGAAAGCAGAGATGTGAAGCGTACTGTGGTGAAGAGTGTCGTTGGGACGCTAGATTTCAGCATCCAATTCTTGCAACAGGGAGAAGCTTTTCCAGGGGTACAATTTCTTCTCTTTTTTTTTTCTTTTTTCCCTCATTTGAGAATTATGAAAAAATCATCTTTGCATTCTCCAGGCGATGCAATTCTATTTTCTCATCTCCCCTGGATTATTCTCTTTCCTAGGTACCTGGAACATCTCCATTGTTTAGCAGCAAAGATACAAAAACTTGCAACAGATATGGCTACATTGCCAATTTATGCGTTGCAAAATCAGCTCGGCGCCTAGGTATCGCTAGCAATATGTTGCTCTTTGCTATTAGGTCGGCCAAAAGAAGTGGTAGGGATCCTTTACCTTTCAATATTGTTCTAATGTGAAGGTGGTTGTTGCCCTCCCTCATCTAAAGTCATTTATGAATGATCAGGTGCAAAACAAGTGTTCGTTCATGTTTACAGAGATAATACAGCTGCAAAGCAACTTTATTATAAGATGGGTTTCGAGGTTAGTACCAAGAGACATGTTAGCATCATCCCATGTTCTTGTATAACCATCAGCTGACCTGACAATTCTGCAACAGGATGTTGAACCTGTGGCGTTCGACAAACCGGATGAACAAATTCACTTGCTTCGTTTCGAATTATGAAGTCATTATAACTGTGTACAGTATTTTCTTTTTCCCCCTGTTAATTATCTCCTCAGTGCCCACTGAATTCATGAATGTAGAATGAAAATCCATTGAGACTAAAAACGCAAAAGTAATCCATCAATGTGTCAAGAACAATACTAGAGGCTAAGTACAGTACAGCTCAGGGAGCTACATTAGTGTTGTATATCAAGCACCATTGCAGCTTACAAGATGTGCATAAATAGACAAGTCACAGAAAGCTCCCAAGGGACAAAACACGCACTCTGAGACTTGTGGGCGATGCAGGCCGGTTACTTAGGATTCCTTCTGAAGATAATCCCAGGAAATAACACATGAATTGACGGCCGAAACAAAATGGCATTCTAGCTTCTAAAGAAAGTTGAAAACAAAATAAATAAATGAAAGAATCACACAGACGAATAACGCAGGGCTCCGTGTGATATAACAGGGTCCTGAAAATGCTTTAGAATGGGTTCCATCTTTAATCCAATGATCTGCACTTCTTCATTTGAGTGGCCCGATAGAAACACATTAGTTATCTGCAGAAAATAACCAGGGCACAGCTTAGATTATGTGCTCACCTATGAACAAAAATCAATTGCTATTCAGAAGAACAGATGTAAAATTCAAATTCGTTCAAAAGCTAAAGAAAAACATTTGTCTTGTAATGTCATACCTGAGAACAGCCAAACACCTTGAGCACTTTCAGAGAGGAACAGTTATCGACAATCAAACCCAGGGCTTCATCCGTCAAATTGCGGCACCAGGATAGATCCAAATAATTCAAATTTGCAGAGTGTCTTGAAAGTGATGTTGCAGTGCACTCAGCAACCTAAAATTGATTTGGCACACCTAGTTAAGCACAAAATACACCAACCAGAGAAACACGTGCCTAGTTGATTAGAGTGTAGAGATTGGCCCCCTAGCTTTAAGCGACAGTTTCTAATCAACACTACAAGCACACCATATGCAGCAGAAAAGAAGGCATACCAAGGCTACAACGTTGACATAATAAATGCATATTTAGTGAAAGCGGCCCTTGGAGCTGCATGTAGTAACACTGTCAGTCTGGTTGATCAGTGTGTATCCACTATCAGCATGAGCGCTCTGCAATGGAGGCGTAACAGTACGCCAGGGAGATTCTCTTTCCCCCTCCATCTTTCTTATTTGTTTTAGAACTCTTCGCCCTTGGGATAACCCAAGAGGTGGAAAGTAGCAATTGAAAAGCAATAAAATTCGAGTAAAAGTAGTCCTACAACATCTCACTCATTTTTTTGCGGACTAATTATTTTTATTTAATGAGCCACTCCTAATTTTCAGATGCAATAGGCCAAACTCCCGGGGCATGTGTGATGAATTGGACAAGCCAGCAGGCTGCTAAACGGTTTTGCTTTCGGGTTAATGCCAGAAAGGAGGAAATGCACCTCATAAATTGGGATACCCTATGAAATAGCAAGGATAAAGGAGGTTTGGGGTCAAGAAAGGCAAGGGAAAATGACCTGGCCTTTCTAGCAAAAATTGGCTGGGAATTGATTGCCAGAAAATTTGAGAGGTATAGGCATAGGAACAGGAGTTGGAATCCAGTTTCAAGCCACAGAAAGGAAACTGTCATCTGCCTCAACTTGGAAAGGCATCTGTGACGCCTTCTAACTTGGGCTGTTGAAAATGGTGAGACAGTAAGGTTCTGGGAAGATAGATGGATAGAAGACTTCCCAAACCTTTCAGATTTAGCTCCGTGTTCTTTGAGTGACAAAGAAAAGCAGAAGAAACGGGCAGAGTTTATGGGCTCTAATTTAACAAACCAGATACTTTTTCTATCAAATCTGCATATGTTTTGGGTCTTGAATGCAGGGAAGACAGGACGACAGAAGCTGGGAAGGAATATGGAAATGGAAGGGTCCTCCGAGCATAAAAACAATTCAATGGCCTTCACATGGCAGACTTGCAAAAAGTGAACTGCGACACAAATGAGGCATTACCAATACCGAAAGACGTGAGAAGTGTGGTGCCAGAGCAGCCCAGAGCAGAGAAGCTTTTTCCAGCAACCCATCAAGGAGTGGTCAAGCTCAAATTTATCAATGAATGATCACAGAAGGGAATTTGAAGCAACATGCTAGGCTTGTGGAAGTGGAGAAACAAAAAGATTTTAACGGGGGAAATATGGAATTGGATACCGCAATCAAGATTGTAGAACAGAAACCAGATAAAATACTTCGCAGCCAGGCAGCACTAAAAAGTCAACATTCTGGTCAAATCAGGAGTAAAGGATTAGGATGGAAACCTCCTCCAAAGGATTGGGTAAATTGGACTGTGACGTGGCTGTTTGCATTCATACTAAGCATGCAGCTGCAGGAGGCATGCATAGAGACAGCTAGGGAAAGCCATGAGGTAGTTCAGGCAAAAACAGGGTTTTTGTTTGACTGAATCAGCTGAGCTCTTGGCGATTAAAATAGGCATTAAGCTAGCCAAACAGCAGGGAATTTCCAGCGTCCTTGTTGAATCAGACTTCGAGAAAGTGCTTCACTTGGTGGCAACCATTACCGGAAGTCTGTCTGGATCCAGATCTATGTAGAGTCCAATCTCTTTTGAACACCGGATGGCATGTGCAATTTGTATATAAATTTAGGGAAGATAAGCTTTGTACGGACATTCTAGCCAAGGACACGCTTAGATTAGGAAGGAGCATGTATTCTTTAGATGTAGTCCCTAAGTTAAGGATCTCATGTGATTATATTATATATTTAGCCAATAACAAATAAATGCATATTTAGAGGACCTAGAGAGGCAAAGGGAAGCCAAATAGAGTTCAGTACCTGTTCAACATTACTGAGGGAAAGTTCTCTCAATGAATTTCCACAGGTCTCGAGATACGCAGCAACAGCTTCATCACTATCAAAATACATTAATGTTGGTATGCATTCAGCTACATGGTCCATTAAATATTAGAACCTATTCCAATAAAACATTATAATACCAAAATATAGTACAAAACCATTCAGGAATTAATGCACAGGACCCAGCTGACTTGGAAACACCAATTATACCTTCACCTATCTTTCTATTCATGAGATTGTAAAGCTCCCTCATAAAATTTACTAGTCTTCTTTAGATCGTGAACTCTTGTTCATAAAAAGTCGAGGAATGCAGAAATAGTGATGTTTCAACCTACTCTCAGACATTGCATAAATTCCAAAGTATCATTAAATCATTGCAAGTATCACAATGACGAAAAAGAATCTTAGGAAATAAATTTATCCTAATGGAATGTTTACTGAAACATCAATTCTTAAGCATTAACATAGAAAGAATAAAGATCAGTCTTAGGGGAAACCACTAGAGTTACTGAAATTCAAATAACCAGGTACATGAAGTGGGTAACAAAACAACCAGGATTCAGCTCTAGCAGCCTCCAACAGACAGGGCCCCGGAATTAAGAAAAAGAGGCCTTATGAAGGCATGATATAACCTTTTGAATCATAATATTATTAAGATCAACATATTTTTACTGGTGAACAAAATCCATACGCAATTGTAGTAACGGTGATGGGCTCCTTTACTGTTATTTTAAGGTGTCTGTTCACTTTGCTTAGCAGGGTACACACATTACCACCCCCCAACCCAACAACACAAAACAGCAAATCAGAAGGAAGTAGGTTAAACCTGAAATAATTGCTGCAGGTGTCTGTTCACTTTGCTTAGCAGAGTACACCCATTACCCCCAAAAGCCAACAACACAAAACAGCAAATCAGAAGTAGGTTAAACCTGAAATAATTGCGGCGCAATTTAAGATATTGAATTGCTCGACAACCGTTTGCGAGGTACCCTATTGCAGCATCTGTTAACTTGCATAAGTTAGAGAGGTCAACTGCACATAATTCCGGACAACTTTCTGCAATAGCTCTCACAGAAGAATCTGTCAATCTCCTGCAGAAAATGCAGAGTAAAAAGAATCAGGGACTTATTTTATTGTATTTTGCAAATGTAAAAATATAAATAAAACAAAATCAGAAACCCACGTGCAATCTGATAAAACAAGCTCCTTGATACTGGGGCCTCTTGCACGAAGGAATTCAAGGACAAAATCATCAGACACCGTTTCCAAACCAGACAATGATAGGACTTCCAAATTTTGAAGATTTTGCAAAGCTGGCAAAATGTGCATCGCGTCTATCCCTTGGCATTCATCTAGATGGAGCTCCCTCAAAGCTGATCCTAGCGAAGCAGCCATACAGCATACACCATCGGAAGTAATCAGGGAACACTGGCTAAGATCAACAGATCTTAATGAAGGTGCAGAAGAAACCAGTGCACTAAGCCCGATATCAGAAAGGCGATAGGCAGCCTTAAAAGAAATCGTAGTTAATGCAGGTAGGCTATTCGCTGAGCAAGCTAAAGACTCTGATATAACATAGTCTGCCAAACATCTCCCACATAGGTCAAGCTGTAGCACCTGATTCAGAAAAGGAATATAGTCTTCAGAAGTTGTAACATGATTAAAGAAATTAAACACATGCCACAAAATTTAAACAAGATCTTTTCTCACTTCCATAAGCTCACAAAGAAAATCTGCACTCGTGTAAATAGCTAAAAATGAAAATTATAAAGTTTGACCAACAAGCAAAAGTCTATCCCATGATGTATAGAGTCCTTCATTGCGTTAATGAAAATAACCAAGCAACAGATATGGACAGAATCACAGCAGAAGAACAGTTTAATTGTTTTAATTGATGGATGAAATCAGGTCAATATGTTCTGAAGCTTGTGAAAAAACCAAATCAGACCAAAATTTGCAGAATGTTACCTGAAAAATCATAGACAATATCCAAAATATCAACAAGACCAACTAAGAATATGTAAACATTAACTAGCAAGTAACAAGTACATACTGTCAAATTACTGAGATCACACCCTTCAAATGCATTTTTGAATATCTCCTCAGATAACCAGGAACAATCCCTAACACGAATCTCTGTGGGAGATCCATCCACTAGCAGGCGCAAGAAATGACTATCCATTCTCCGAGAATCAGAAAGCAAATGAGAAAGCTTGTGCCTCATAACATCGGGAACACAGTTAAGTGAAGTAATTGCATCAGCATGCTTTACAAGAATTGCCACACATAAATCCTGCAGCAAAGGAACAGATTGCTTGGGAAAATTTCCTTTCGTAGCCTTCTTGGGCACCCACGTCACTGGTGCAACACTTTTTTTGCCACGGGAGATACTCCGCTGATCCTTACTAATCTTCATGGCAGTTGAAAAAGGGCCAGGCCAGTCCTCTGCTTCTCCACTAGTAGCAGATGATAGAATGTCTCTGCGAGGAGCGTCATTACCATGGTTATCCACATCATTTTCGGAGGAGAAATGTGCAAATCGAGATGCATTTTTCCTGGCTATATTACGAAATCGTTCCCTTACATTCATTTGCTCTGTGCTCAGGGATGGTGCAGCTGCAGAAGGAGAAAGATCACCAGAAGCACTACTTTCATTTTCTGCATCATTTAAATGCTTAAAATCGACTGCATTTCTAGAGCTAGATTGGGAACCATTTTCAACCACTTTTTCCTCCCCTTTATCCTTCCTCTTAGAATTTCTGGCATCAAGACCCGACACTCTTACAGTTGTATTTCTATCAGCTTCTCTGGCAGCTGAATTCAACTTCCCGTTACCAATGCTGCTACTGAGGGAATCTTTCTCGACTACTTTGACTTTGTCATTTCCTCTGCTACTACAAACATTCTCAGCCGCTCCAGCATTTGCTTTAAAATCATTCATCAGAACAGCATTTTCACCAGAGCCATCAGCAATAATCCTAGATTCATTACCAGAAACGGACTTATCATCAAAGATTCCATCGCCTCCTAAAGAAGCATCAACATTACTAGAATTCACTTCACTTTTAATAACTTTCTTCCCTGACCGCAAATACAAAATTTTATTCTCCTTGTGGTCCTGATCCTTCCTAGCAGAACGGGATAGCTCAGTTTCTACACCATTCTTCCTCTTCCGATTTCTGTTCATCCGACTCTCCAGAGTAGCTGAACTTCCCAAATTAAGCCTATCACCCAAATTTGTTTCAGCAATAGATATCTTCCTCTTTCTATAACTACTTCTAACACTTTCTTCTACATTCTCCACACCTCCAGTCAGTCCAGAGTCCATCTTAGATGCCAAACGAAGACTACACCGCCTCAAAAGATTTCCAGACCCTGACCCTGACCCAGATCTGGACCCAACAGCTTCTGGAGCTGCAGATTCAGGGCTCACAGTAAGAGTCCTGGCGGTTGAGAGGTGGTTCAAGCCATCCAGACTTTTTGCGGGAGTCTGAGGCTCCATTAACATAACAGCATCCTTGTTATTTGCTTGAGCTTGTAATTCAACTTTTGGAACAATCTCCCGGGACCTCAACACCGTCATTCTAACAATCTACACCATAAATATAACAGATAAAGATTTAACACAAATAAAACCCCAAGTCTTAATCAAAATAGAAACAGATAGCGAAAACTTGAACAAGCCTTAATCAAATGGAGACGGTGGAATAGGTGAATCCAAAGTAATAAAATAGTCAAAATTATTCAAAACTCTCAAGGAATTAACCAATGCATATTCTAACAATCTACAACCATAAAATAGAACACATAAAAAGAAACGAAAAGAAATGAATCAAAACCCCCAACTGAGACATAATCAGATTAAACGCGGCGGTGATGACCGAAAACTTACGTCGGATTTTGCGGCTTTTTTTGAGGTTCTGCAAGCAGGCAGCAAAGAGAGAGTATGTGAAGTTGGACGGTGGGAGGTTAACAAATGGTGCCTTTTGTGGATTTTTTTTACTACTTAGTTCAAGGCCGAGGTCAAGCTTGTCCAATACGCCTCTTCCGCTAACTAGGTGTTTCCCGCCAAAAACATAAGCCTAGCGTACACGTGTCTCCTTTATGATTGCGCCACTTCACTTCCCGCCGCTACTGTGTCTGACACCACCGTGGCCCTTTCCCCGCCGGTCAGAAAATAATAAATACTTCAAATTGTTCCCTAATCAAAACCAAAACGACCAAAGAAAATATGTTTTCCCTTTCTCCATGTCTCAAAAACTTCCCATAAAGGCTACATTAATGTCCATTGAATTAATTACTATTGCCCCAACAAAAAGCAGATTAATGGATTTAGTTCCCCGATGGCATTTCTCTTGTAAATACGTAGAGTAACAAAGAGTCAAATTCCATCATATCTCGAGTCTTAATTACACATTCTATTAATGTACTCTCCCTGTTTTAAAAAATATCTACTTACAAAGTATTGTTTGGTTTAATAAAGTAAGTAGTACAGCAGTAATTTTTAAACCAAAGGTGTAATTACATTTCTAATATACATACCTTTTTACGTGGATTGAACTTTTGTATTTGAAACTCTTTTTTTTTTTGTTATTATCGGAACGTAAATAGATACTTGTACTAGAAATGTAAAAAAGTGTTTAAAATAAGGAAAATTTGATGAGAGAAGATCAATAAATACGCAAGTAATCTATGAGACTATGAATAATTTGTAATTGATGAAGAGTATGATCAAATTTTATTTTTAGTATAATTGTTTTGTTTAAATTTTTATTTTTAGTATAATAAAAATGAAAATTCACATCGGATTATTATTTTATAGTGGAAGAAGTGGGTAAATATATATATAATATAATTTAGGCATGTATGGCGAAAAATATTCTAAAAGCCATAAGCATACATTAAATGACAGAAGATCAATAAAAAACAAAATGACAAATTCTTAGGTGCACCAGGAACCAGCATGGTTCCCCTCCTATTTTTTGCATATATGATTCTTATTCTACTTTTTCTCAATTTTTTTATATTTTGCAAATTTAGTTCATGTTACTTTTTTTTCTCTCTCCTCTAAAAAAACATCTTTAATCTTTAGATGAGCATATCTCTCGATCCGTGAAGAATTATAGAACATGTTACACATGAAATTTATAGTACTCGTCGAGATCTATCCAACAACATACATATCAAATATTTGTTTCGAGCTTAAAAAGGATTAAATTTTAATGGGCGGAAATAAGGTGGACATCCCATTTAACAAGATGGATAACCAACTATTTTGTATTCATATTCTTGTAAAATTTATATCTCTTGATTCATGAATAATTAGAAAATGAATTATACATGAAATTTATAGTACTCGACGAGATCTATCCGATAAGATCAATATTGAATATTTTTTTCGAACTTTAAATGTATTTAAATTTACTGGCAAAAATGAAGATTTTTTTTTTTCTGAAAATGCTTATTCATTTGGTTTGTATGTATATCCAACTTGTTTTGTAGTTGTTATTCAACTTGTTTTGTATGCATATCTAACTTATTTGTACTGGATATCCAACTTATTTGTATGACTATCCAACTTATGTGTATTGGTTATCCAACAGATTTATATGCACATCCAACTTATGCGTACTGGTTATCCAACTTGTTTGTACTGGGTATCCAAACATTTTGAGTTGTTTATACTGGATTGATGTATCCAACATTTTTTTATTTTTTATTTTTCTCAACTTCTGGAAAAGATAACAACGATAATGAGTTGTTTGGGGATGATGTGATGGTGAATGATGCCTTGATAGATACATTCAAAGGCATTGGATATCCCACAAAAAATGCTCAAAAATATCGCTAAAAGATGCTTAACATTAAAAAAATGCTTATATCCAAAATCATTTATCTCCCGCAAAAAACATCAAAGTGATCGTGTGTTCTTATGGGATAAACAGTACAAACAAAATGGATAATCAGTTCAAATATTATAAATTGGTAGAATAATCAGCATAAAAAAATCAGACAAGGATATTAAAAAAAATAGAAATGAAAAAAAAAGTTGGAGAAACATTGCAAACCGGTTGGATAATCGGTATGAAAACATTGGACAACTATTTTTCCAAAACAAAAAAAAGGAAAAAAATGATTGGATAAGTATTACAAACTATTTGGATAATTGGTGAAAATAATTGAATAAGCAGTACAAATTGATTGGATAACCAGTATAAAAAATCGGACAATCATGTTCATAAAAAAAACAAGGAAAAAAAATGTTGGATAGCCATCGCCAAGAATTGGGAATGTTGGATACTCAGTATGAACATAACATATTGGACATACATTCTCTCGAAAAAAAAAAAGATCGGATACTAACCCTGTTTAGATAACCAGTAAAAATAATTAGATAACCAGTACAAGTTGGATAGTCAGTACAAACAAGTTGGACAAGGACTTTCGTAAAAAGTAAAATGAAAAGAATGGGTAGAGAAAAGGAAAAACGGCTGGATAAGCAGTACCGTTCAGTTGGATAATCACTATTAATACATTGGACAACCACTTTTTACAAAATAAACAATTAGATAACCAGTACAAACATAATGGATATTCAGTAGAAAGACACCGGATAAGTACAAGAAAAAGCAAACGAGTAGGCATCTCGATTTAAATTCTCTTTGACATTCCCTCCTCTTTAAACTAGGTTGGATAAGTAGTACCAATTAGTTAGATGGATAATCAGCATTAACATACTTGGACAATAATTTTCTAAAAAAAAAAAAAGATTGGATAACCAATACTAACAAAGCGGATAATCAATTCAAACCGGTCGGATAATCAGTATGAACACAATGGATAAATATTTTCTCAGAAAAAATGATTAGATAACCAATAAAAACCGATTTGATAATCTTTCATAAAAAAAAAAGAAAACAAAAAAAAAATATATGGAGAAGCAATATCAAGCAGTTGGATAATCAATATGAACACATTGGATAAGCATTTTCCCAAGAGAAAAAAAAAGAAAAAAAATAATTGGACAAGCAGCGCAAACTTATTTGGACAACTAATAAAAAATAATTAGATAACCAATACAAAACGGGTGGATAATTAGTACAAATAAACTGGACAAGTATTTTCATAAAAAAAAAAGAAGAGAAAAAAATGATTGGATAACCAGTACCAAGTTGGTGGATAGTCACTACGAACACATTGGACAACCATTCCTTAAAAAAAAAGTTGGATAACCAGTATAAATAAAATGGATAATCAGTTCAAAGTGGTTGGATAATCAGTGTGAACAAAATGGATAATCGGTGAGAACATATTGGACATGATTTTTTTTAAAAAAGAATTAATTAAATAGCCAGTACAAATAAAATGGATAACCATTTCAAACTGGTTGGATAATCAGTATGAACACAATGGATAAATATTTTTTTAAAAAAAGTATATTCTTTTATTTCTGCCCATAAAATTTAAATCCATTTAAAGTTCAAAAAAAAAATTCGATATGAATCTCATTGTACAGGTCTCGTCGAGGACTATAATTTTAATGTGTAATTCATTTACAAATTCTTCATCGATCAAGAGATATATGGAATACAAGAATATCAATATAAGATAAGTTAGTTATCCAAGTTTTTAAACTAGATATACATGTTATTTTTGCCCATCAAAATTTAGTCATTTTAAAACTCGAAAAAAAATATTTAATATGGATCTCGTTAGATAGATCTCGATGAGTACTGTAAATTTCATGTATAATTCGTTCACAAATTCTTTACGGATTAAGAGTTATGCTTGTTTGAAAATTAAAGATATTTTACGAAGAGAGAGATAAAAAAAAGTGACAAGGACTAAATTTAGAAAACATAAGAAATTTGATAAAAAGTACAATAATGACTAAAAATACAAAAAATAGGAGGGGGTCTACCATGGTACCGGATGCACTCAAGACGGTCTCAATATGTCATACCCCTAAACTTAAATATAGGAATTAGATAATAGAGGGACTTGAGTAGCATTTTAGAAAATTAGAAAACTATAAATAGATAGCAGGGAGTTGTAATAGAATTATAGAAAATATTATGTCAAATTGGATTTTCCAATTTCTTCATTACTTCTCCGATTTCCCCCTTCCAGAACCCTAATTTTCTCCGACCTCCTTCAGTTCTCGGATTTCTGCCTTCTGGCCCTCCTCCGGCCACCGGGTCGTGATAATTGCTATCAGAGCCGGTCGATTCTTGGCCAACTCTATATCAATTTCACTGATTCGTTCATCTTATTCTTCTCCATTCTATTTTTAACCCTCTGACATCTGAAATCTCTTTCTTCTCCTCCTCTATTTCTGAAATCTATGTTGTTCTTCATTTTCTCTGATCGCACCAATATGTTCTTGTTCCTTGAAAAAAAAAAATTTAGCTTCCCATTGAGTCACGATGAAAGTCAGAGACACCGATGTTCCTAGGATTAAAGCCATATCAGCTTTACCACCTTCCGAAATCCTTCATCCAAATCCGGTATCCTTTCATCTTTCTGAGCCGTCACCGTCCGGAATTCCCCTCTTTTCCGGCGAAAAATTCAGCGAATGGCTTGACTTGATCGAGCAATTCTTCTTCCTTAATCGTGTTCCAACCCAGAGCAATTATATACGGCGGAATTCTATCTAGCCAGAGAACTTTTGAGATTCTTATACAGGTTACTCTGTCCTTCCCAATTATCGACGTGGGAAAAATTCGCCGACCAGCTGGAGCTCCAATTTGGGAACTTTACGTGAATTTTTTTTTTACTCGTACGAAAAAAGGAAAGCAAAGATCTAGGAACAATTTTTTTAACTCGTTTAAGCCCATATACTTGAGGCCAATCTTTTTTTGTTTACACAAGAAAAATACTCGCAGAATGTTTTAATAGTTTTCCTGATATAATCTTTTTTTGAAACCCGCAGACTATGAAACACGCAAACGGAAAAAAACCAAGTACAATTGGCAAGGTAAAGAACGAGAAGACTAATGAAAGAAGCCGTAAAATATATTCTAGCCGCTTAATTGAAGCTTTAAGCGATGAGGAAAATCCATCAGTTATTGGTGATCATCTAACGAAAGGAATTCCGGAAGGAACCATCCTACAATAATCCCTCATATTGAGACCCAAAAAACTATCTCAAGAAAAACTCTTCATAAAGTGCCGATGATGAACAAAACCACCAAACTACAACTCAAAATGCAATGGTTGATAAAGGATCACAAAGCATTATTTGAGTGCTGCCAACAACCCAAACGAAGAAACCATTATATCCAGAGTGACGGACAAGAAGAAAAATAAAATATGAAGAACATCAATAAAAAAGAAATGAGAGATGAATTAATTGAATGGCTACATTGTGACTGACAGAATACAAAGACTGAGATAGAAGCCATATTTATAGGTCTTCTACACATGATAATTAACATATTTTCACTACAGATAATAATAAAAAGGCTATTATCAACTACTCAATATTTATTATTCTAACTCTTAGCTATATCCCTAACTCATAAGGTAAACAAGGATTCCTCTTCTTGATGATCTCATCTTCATGATGATTATTTTTAACATCCTCCCTCAAATTGAGTCGGGGTTGGAGACTCAGTTTGTTTCTTGGGTGATTCTGACCACGCATTGGACTGCTGTTCCTGATATATGAATGGTGAAAATGCAAGTGATGTAATGCGTGTTTTTTAGTGGAGTGCTCAAATTTTTGATTGTTAGAAATTGTTGAGAAACGAGATGTATCGATTCTCACTGTTGTGTTAGATTGTTGCATGACAAGTCCAACCTCTTCTTCTGAGAGGAGATCGAACGTTTGTCATGATATGGATTTTTGTAGGTAGAGATATTTTCTCTTTGTCATCCACATTTTTTTTCTTTTGTCAACCACATAATTTTTGTGATCGACATGAGACTTGTATTTGACAAGAAGTGGTGGTGATTGAGGGTAAGTTGGTTGTTTATGTTGCCTGAGACTGGCTTTGAGTGAATCTAAGAGGGAAGACCCTAGTGATGGAATGAGGCTGGTTAATGATTTCTGGTAGTGATCATGGTGGTGATAGGGAGTAATTTTGACGAGGACTCAGTGATATTGATTGATTTGGGATATTGAAGGACATGGAACATAGATGCGAATAGAAGACAAATGGTTTATTTCTTGAAATAAAAAATAAGCTGAAGCATAGCACAGAAGCAGGGCGGAACCTGCTCTGATACCAAGAAGAAAATAAGTATTTGAAGAACAATAAAAAAATAAATAAGAGATGATTAATTGAATGGCTACATTGTGACTGACAGAGTACAAAGACTGAGATAGAAGCCATATTTATAAGCCTTCTACACATGATAATTAACATATTTTCACTACAGATAATAATAAAAAGACTAAAGTTATCAACTACTCATTATTTATCATTCCAACCCTTAGCTATATCCCTAACCCATAAGGTAAACAAGGATTCCTCTTCTTGATAATCTCTTCTTCATGATGATTATCTTTAACAAAACATACTTTGAGGCCAATCTATTCATCGAAACCAAATTAAATTCCATCGGCACCGTCTTCACCCCAAAAGGGTTTTCGGTAGGTACCGCAAAGGCGGGGATTCGCACCAAAGAGAGATGTTGCAATTATCCATCATGATGGAACAGGGTTCATCAGCAAAAGGTAAAGGGATGGAGTATGATGATAAAACAATGAAGCACAACAGTTGCTAAATCCCACTGAGAGCCATATTTCGATTCTCGTTTTTGAAAAAATAAGAATCCTGTTTTGCAGCATAAAAGTAGATTGAGCAAAAACTTACTTTGGAATCGAACCGCAAATAACAACCAATACCAACCTTAATGATCAACTACAAAACTAATTAGTTATCCAGAGATCAAAAGACAGATCTTTGGGCAATTCCAATTCATCAGAATGAAAATTGAAATGGCTATCTTCAACCTACATTATCCTCCGAATCATCAACACCATCATCACATTAATTGTACCCATAAAAAAATTTAAAAAAATCAAATTATTAATAACAAATCTTCTGTTGATTATCTTCTCTTTAAACACATTACATTTCATGATTATCTACATAGTTTTAGTTTCAGTCGACAATGCAATGATAAGGACAATAAAATTTTTCACATACTTTTAAGTTATTTGAAATTATTAATTAATGCGATTATTAATTAATGTGATTGAATCAATTTGGGGCATCCCCTTTCCCTTAGAGCTTGTCTTCAACCACCACCAAATACTTACCCCGGTAATTTTCCCAGCAAATTTTTTTGGGGCAATGTCGGTAGGGAAGGAACATGATTCAACTGGCGTACAAACTTTGTTGGGCAAACCTCGCCATGGAAAAGGAACATGATTTCAATCTGAATTGATTTCATGGGTCAAAACCAGAATAGATAATCTACAATGTATCGATATTACTCCCTCCATTCCAAAATAAGTGTCGTCCTACACTTTGCACATAGTTTAAGAAACTCTTAAATAGGGTAATAAAATTACTTGAATATCCTCAACCAACCCCATTATAAAATTATCCACCAATAGTATCAACTCTTTTGAGGGTAATTTTGGAAACTTTTGACAAAAAGTGCATTGAAATGTGAGAATGACACTTATTTTAGAATTTCTCCATTTTGCTAAAACGACACTTATTTTAGAATGGAGGGAGTACATCGTATAATTACGGTATCGTCGCCGATATTACACGTTGGAAAGTTTGGAAGCCATGGCCGGAAGAATTATAATGGGTTTCTATTTGGAAGTCATCGACGATAGGCGTCCGTAATCATATTGTTTCAGAACCAACACTGGCCGGAAACGTGCGAATTAATTGCCGGAATCTTATTAATCACCGGGAAACGTGCTAATTTATGATGAATAGTAACAAAAATTAATGAATACTTTACCATTTAAATTAATATAAGTAGTAAATTTAAAGATTAGCTTATATCGTTAAATATTTACTTTGAAAGTATTAGTAACCTAATTGAGCGACACGTGTGGGATCAAAATTCTTTTTCTTATATAATATATCTAAAGGATATGGAGTAAACAATCTGTTTGTTTCATTTTTTGATGATTTTTTCAAATTATTTTATTATTAATTGTACTAATCTTTTTACATTTTCAATATCTTTTTTTATACTTCTAATAAAAAAATACCTAAAACACACATTTAAAAAAAAAGGAAACAGACATACTGGTTTGATCGCTAATCAATCACCAATTCTCCTCCATAAACCAATAGTAAAGGCCTAAATGGACAAGAAGCAAAGATATGTTTTCAGTTTTCTACATGGGTGACACAAATATCACAAGAATTCCTCAATGTCATAGTTTATTTTCGCTAATCTATCTCTGATAAGTAATCTCTCCATCAACTTACTCAAGTTATGAATCTATGTTTTGGGACATTTAACTTGGTCTACACAATTTTATTTTTCTTCATTTTAGGCACATGTTAATGTAACCATTTATAAGGCGAGCATATTGTATAAAGTTTCCCCCATAATAATCCATTTTATTTGGTGCATAGTTTTTTTTTTCCAGCTATCAATTATCATCTCTCTCATATTTTCTATATTCCAGCTACACAAAATATATATAATTTCACATTCCTAACACAAAAATAAATACTATAAAAATGTTCAAACTTCAAAGGCCGAGCTTGGTCAAATATTTTGTCTCCATTTTATTTCTCTTCTTCATAAAAGCTCCATTTTATTTCTTACTCCATGTCTGTATGCATAAAACTTTTTCACAGTCCAAAGTCAACCTAATCATCATTTTCATAACTTATTATAGGAGACCTTTTTTAATGTTTTCAAACATTAGAGGGGAGAGATTGAAAATTAAAAAATACAAAAAGGATGAATTGTGAAAACAATTGTTTCCATTAACCGCGTCAAGTGTTTTTTCTTCATCCGGATTGGCCGGTGGGTATTAAATGTGCCCAATCATCTCTCGGCCCACATTTTCCCACCTTTTGCTGCTGCGACTGCGATCAAGAAGCTGTCCCAAAATTCCATCCTGTAATCTTTCTTCTGAATCCCAATTCTCCCAACTGAACCCGAGCTTCCTAAAATGTCTGCTAGAAATTAGGAAGAAAAAAAAAAGAAGGAAAAAAAAAAAAACGCATGGGTTCTCTATATTACTCTAAAAGTAGTTAATCATGGCTCAACAGCAGCAGCAAAATAACCACCATCACAGCCACCTCCACAGTTCTTCCGCCGCCGCCGTAGATGGCGTTTCACCGCGAGTTAGCAGCCCAAGATTCTCGGGTCCAATGACACGCAGGGCTCACTCATTCAAACGCAATAACCACGCCAATATCAATTCCCAAGCCACCCAAAATGGTGTTAGCAGTAATAATAATACGAACGGTTCTTTAGGCGAGCATGAGATTAATCTCCCGCTTTACTCACCCAGATCTGAAACTCATAGTCGTGGGAATTCAGCTGATGGGTTGGAGGGTATACTTGAAAAGAAGCAGACCCGTTTGGGGAAACTGACTCAGAGAGTTCATTTGAATAGAAAAATCGGATCTTTGAATGTGGAGTTTGGGTTGGGATTGGAGTTGAAGGAGAGGAAAAAATTGGGGCAGTGGATGTTTTTCGCGTTCGGCGGGATTTGCTTGTTTTTGGGTATTCTCAAGTTTTGTGCTAATGGATGGTTTGGATCCGCCATTGAAAGGATTGACTCCAATCAGGTCGGCCTCGGTTCACTTCATAATTGATTCGTTGTTTTTTTGCTCACAATTGGCAATAAATTTATGACGTTGTGTTCGTTGTCCGGTTTTCATCAACCTCTGTAGTTATTTATGGATCAGAGCATTTATAGTATCTTTTAATGGAACTATTTGCTGACAAGGGCTAATATATATGCTAACATTGACTGGGCTTGGGTGGCTCTTTTACCAGTCATACTCACACAAGCAAGGAAAACGAAAACCTGGCTTTTCTCTATGTATTTCTGCTTGATTTAGGTGATAGATTTCGAGTTGGTAGTTAGTAAGTAGGTCAATTTGTCCTTTCTTTCAAACTTAAAATAACTACGGTTGCATCCTTCAGGATCAGCCCATGACAGTCACTAACGTTGTCAGTGCTGCTAGATACGATAATGAGAAGTTTTCCAACTCTCAATAATATGTTAGGTAGCGTTACTATTTTTTCATGGTTCAAGTCAACCCTTTTCCCAACAATCTTTCTTTCCTTTCTTATCTAATTATGGAATCCCAAGTGTTTTAGTCCAATTATTACAGTGAATATACAATGTCTTGCATCAGTCTAATGGAAAAAAGCTGGTTTTGGCATCTATGCACAATGTCTTGTCAACGTGCCCAATTCTATAATGTCGACTCCATGTTGTCTTATGTATTGCATTTTTCTGCTCGTTGGTTCTGTTAGCTGCTAATTCCGTTTAAAATGATGATTTCTCTGTCCCTTTTCTATATCATTGTGCTGATTAATTTGGACTGTCTTTCAAATTAGGAATACTATGACTCTAGATACACGCCGCTGAATCTTAGAGATCATAGTGCTGATGAACATGGATATATGCAAGCAGAAATCAAGGATGATGATGTAGGCATAAGAAGTGAAGTGAAGCAAACTGAAACACTACTAATACCAGGCTTAGTTCACGACAATAATGCTGCAACTGACGTAAGTACTGATTGTTGCTTCTATGTTACTTTTTTTTGATGATTTGCTTATTTCGCTTATGGGGGAAATCTGTTCAGCATTTAGGTATATGGTCCAAACCAGATAGCGAGAATTACACTCAGTGCGTTGATCTGCCTAAAAGCCACAAGAGTATCTCTTCACTTCCCTACTTTTGTATTTCATTTTGAAATTCATTTTGAATATCTCTGCATGTTGTTTTCTCTAATTATTTTCTGTTCTCATGTTTCATCACTTATGTAGAACTGGATGAGAAGACGAATGGTTATATCTTGATAAATGCAAATGGCGGCTTGAATCAGATGAGATTTGGGGTCTGTTTCCTTTTCAACGATTATACAATTAAGTTTGAAAGGTTAAAGTTAGTTCACCTGATAAACAAATACTTCTAGAGTGCAGATCTGTGACATGGTCGCTGTTGCTAAAGTCTTGAAGGCAACTCTTGTACTTCCATCCCTTGATCACACGTCATACTGGGCTGATGAAAGGTACCTTTGTACATCTTCCATCTAAATGGTTAACAAGATAGGATAATTCAAATGCTTCAGTTCATTTTTGCTGTTCTAATCTGTCTGGTTATTGTTGACATTTAGTGAAACATCTCAATGCATATTAAACTACGGTTTATTTTAGGAAAATAGTATTGAAACACCTTTATCCCCTTAATCTGATAGAAACATTGCCTCACATACTTCACCTTGAAGAAGTGCATTGGCTTGCCTTGCCTTTATTTGTGCGTTATAAGCTCCTAAGAGTTGCCTCCATGTAATCATGCATTTGTAAATATTGAAATCCATTTACAGAATGTATCAAGTTTAATAACCAGCAATTTTTCTTCATTTGTTTTCTTCTTATTTTGATATGTACAGTGGCTTCAAAGATCTGTTTGACTGGGAGCATTTTATTGAGTCTCTGAAAGATGATATTCACATAGTCGAGGCATTGCCACCCGAATATTCTGAAATTGAACCTTTCAACAAAACACTCATCTCCTGGTCTAAGGTATCCTTCTGAACCCTTCATATGTCTCCTTAAATATTAACTTTTCTCTTGCAGATAAGATGGCCGCTGTCATTTATGTGAGAGAAAGTTGCAAGCAACTAGCAGTTAAACCCGAGTAAAAAAATACCAAAATGTTCATAGTTTTTATTTTTTTGGGGACCAAATCTGTTGTTTGTGGTTGTGGTTCTTATGTGTCACTTTACTTAGTGCTGTATGGTTCTTTATTTTCAGGCTAGCTATTACAAATCAGAAGTCCTCCCACTTCTAAAGCAGCATAAAGTAATCTATTTTACTCATACTGATTCGAGGCTTGCCAACAATGGTATTTCTAGTTCTTTACAGAAGCTAAGATGCAGAGTAAATTACAGAGCTCTGAAATACTCAGCCAAAATCGAGGATACGGGGAAAACCTTGGCTTCAAGAATGCGACAGAATGGAAGTCCTTATCTTGCTCTTCACTTAAGGTTTAGTTCTGAATTTTTTTGCATGGTTGCTTTTGTATTTATGCTGAAAAAATCGCCTCTTCCATATCATTGGCTTAAAAGTTTAACTGCTATTGAAGGGTAGTTGAATTTTAATCGTTCGCATAGTCTAGACAAATGACCCCGTGATCCCGTTTTTCAGTTAAAGGCTAAAGTTTTGTGTATACATTGACCCCTTCTTCTGATGGTACCTTCTCCTTTACTTTCATTATACCACATTCAGTCCTTCATCAAGTGTTCTGAATTGCCTCCCCTTTGCTGTGGAACTTTCTGTTGCAGAGGCTACTCAGACTGTGGCTGAAAAATCAGGCATTTTTGTTTACCACTCACTTGTAAACAGCTTATTTCTGGTTTTTTAATTTAACTCAAGCAGAACTGAGCAGATGTGGAGTTATTTTAGAACCTCTCGCTGATTCTATATCCATTAGAATGAAATTTATAAGTACTGCATTTCTACTTGTAAAGTATACTAGTGCATGAACTTAGCCAAAGCTCTATTTACCTTTTGGATTAAACCCATACGTATCCCACTTTTAGTGAAACCTTGTAACTATACCTCTCTAGTTAACCAACTTTTTCACAATTTAAATACTTGTATTGACTTTGCTTTTACTCCTCGTAGATCTGATACTTGTATGAAATTTTCTTACTGAACCAAAAATGTCAGGAAAAAAAAACCTCATGCTTGCAAACTGACAGAAATCCTCTTCCAGGCCAATGTAGAAAACTTAATAATCTTACTAATGATTCTTTGAATTCATCTGGTGTTGAGGATCTAAGACAAAGAGTCTCTTACATTTCTCATTTTCTTGGGATGGCTTTGCTGTGTTGCTTCTAAAATGTTTTCATTACTGCGTCAGGTTTGAGAAGGATATGCTGTCTTTTACAGGCTGCAGTCATAATTTGACAGCAGAAGAAGATGAAGAATTGCGAAAGATGCGGTACGAAGTGAGCCATTGGAAGGAAAAAGAAATTGATCCAGTTGAGAGAAGAAAGCTCGGTGGATGCCCTTTGACTCCCAGGGAGACAGCACTTTTGCTTCAAGGACTAGGATTTCCTTCCAGCACCAGAATATACCTGGTAGCAGGGGAAGCTTATGGAAAAGGAAGCATGCAGTATCTGATAGAAAGCTTCCCGAATATATTCTCCCATATGACTTTATCTTCTGAGGAAGAACTGAATCCTTTTAGGAATCACCAGAACATGCTGGCCGGTTTGGACTATGTAGTGGCCCTCGATAGTGATGTGTTTGTCTACACTTATGATGGGAATATGGCTAAGGCAGTCCAAGGTCATAGGCGCTTTGAGGGCTTCAAGAAAACAATTAATCCGGACAGGTAATTGAGTTATCATATCATATTTGTGCCAGTTTGTAACACTTGAATTCAGCTTTGCAGAATTTACTCTTAGACGAGAAGTTGCATTTGTCGATGTGATCACTATTAATATTGTTGAAAATTGATTTGCATATGACGCTGGTCTTAACCTTTTACCTGTAGATCTGTGATGACTACACTTTTAAGTTCATCTTGTAGTTTATTTTACAGGTGAAATTCACCAAATTTAGTGTAGTTATTTAACTTATTTTTAAATCGCAGGATGAGATTCGTCAAATTAGTTGATGATCTTGATGAAGGAAAGATTACCTGGAAAAAGTTCAGTTCAAAGGTCAAAAAGCTTCATAAGGATCGTGATGGATCCCCCTATCTGAGGGAGCCTGGTGAATTCCCTAAGCTGGAGGAGAGCTTTTATGCAAATCCATTACCTGGCTGTATATGTGAGAAAAGCCATGTAAATTTGAAGACAACGTAAGTTGTGCTAGTTAGATCTTCGGTGAAGAATTATGAAGACTGTTCTGGAAAAACGTGAGACCACTGATTTAACGATTAGCATTGACGGTCAATTTCTGTTATTGCCGAGAATGCAACCTTGGACAGACGACAGGTAGCTTCTGAAGCTTTGACTGGAATCAAGAGGTATCTGGCCGCTGGCGCTACACTTTGTTTTATGATGAAGTTCATTAAGCCACATTGAAGTCAGTGGCTTTCCACAGATTACTGGGGCATACTAATTGCACCTTGATGATACTAATACATCTTTGTAAGATACACATTCCACATTAGAAGGATTTTTGTGAATCGATTTTGAAGTTGATGAACTTACATATATCAATGATACGTAATTGTACACGTACTAGCTGAGGAAAAAGTGTTAAATATAACACCTTAGTTTGCATCATTACTTCGAGTGATTTGAATTTCCTAGATCTCTTTTAGTTAATAGCATGCTATGTTGACTAGACAAGTAGAAGAGTTAAAGAACTAGTAAATATGTTGAACATATGATTTACTAGACTGATATATCATAAAGCAGAGTACCCAGTGACATCTCTTGTCAAAGGCAAATAGATCTTATTACTGTTACATAGTTTAATAGTCGTCAAAATTCCCCGGTGACGATCAGGATGACTGGAAGAAAACAATCACCGTCATATTAGATGATGATGTATGATCAAACAGGTTGATAAGTTAATTAGTTCCACCAAACAACTTCTTAAGCCTCTTGACTTCTCTGATAGCAAGCAATGTGGTGTTGGCCACAATTGGAGTCGGCAAATCATTCTGGAACCAGGCCGAGTCTACTATCTGGATACGCGGGTTGTCGCTGCCAAAGCTTGCATAAACCACTGCAGGTATCTTACCAATGTTGATTTGGAAATGCAGCAATCCCTGTGGAAAAACAAAGATATCACCATTCCTGAGAGTTTGGATATAGACTCGATTGTCGCTAGAAGCCACGAAGCCGACTTTGATAATTCCTTGTGTCACAAGAATGATCTCTGAGGCTCCAGGGTGAGTGTGAAATGGTACTACACCGCGCACCTCTATATCCACCCGGGCAAAGGAGATTCCCAGACCGTTCACACCAGCAAAAACGGGAGCAAAAGCAGGGGTCACCATTGACCGGAAGACGTTGTCAGTGTTGCCTTTAGCAGCCAAGGAGTAAAAGAAATCCTTGGCAACCACTTGAGACGGATTTTTGCAAGAGAAACCTGCTGGTCCATTAGGCAAACTTGGGTCCGCGACGCAGAAGTCCACCACTGAAGCCTCAGTTGTAAAGGCGACAGCAGTGAGGAGTGAAAGAAACAGGAAGGTACGCATCGACATCTTCATTTTGTTCTCGCTAAAGGGACGTGGCGAAAATTGTTGTGTTGCCTTTACTGACATTTTCGTCGCATTTTATACACGCTAACTAAAGAGAGGATGAATTTATTCACGTTTTAATAGGTTTGGTTGGTTAAGGCATCTATAGGGGTGGTTGGCTTTTTCTTGGCGCAGCTTAATAAATAATTTTGGCAGAATGCCATCCACATTTTCTTTCATTTGGCAGGCAGATAAATTTTGGCGAATGAAACTTGAAAGTTAGCATTTAAGAAAGGCTACCACAATATCCCTTAAAATGAAATCCACTGGCTGCATCAATCTGATTATTTAGATACTTGACTCCAACAACCCATGAGGAAGAACACTTATTGGTTGATTGACATTCTAACAAAAAACAAAGACAGTGAATCAAACTAATTCAAATTCGTTGAAAGAGGAGTCCTTGTGTTAATTTGTGACTCCGAGGATCCTTTAAGTTTAAGGTTCTTGATTTGATGAATATCAAGGAAAGTTGTTTTCGCGACAATTTCTGTCCGGAAAATCATTATTGAAAAAGCGAAACCAGTGATGGTATTCACTGCTAAAGCTGATTTTTCCAGAATTGAATTGGAAATACAGCAACCCTGTGGATTGAGTCATGTTTTAACTGTTTTACCCTAGTTTAATTGTGTGTTACAGTAGTTTAATTATTGCAATATTATAAGTAGTGTGTTAGTTTACAAGTTGTGCGAGTTATCCATCCCTTTTCTCTGTAAGCGCTTTAGGAAAATATGTATCTCTGACCAGTTTTGTAGAATAGTAATTTATTAATCTTTTCTTGAATCTATTCTCCTTCTAATTCCTGGAGTTCGATCCTACTCGAATAAGATCATTACAGCAATTCAGGAGAAGAGTTAAAGCACTAGTAATTGTGCATAACATACGATCACTTAGACTGATTTATCAGAGTACCCAAAATGGCATTTCTCATCAAGGGAAGTAGATCGCTAGATCTTATTATTGTTGTTACATAGTTTTGGAGTCGTCAAATTTCGCCTGTGACGTTCAGGATGACTGGAAGTTGAAAACAATCACCATTATATCAGATGATGATGTACGATCAAACAGGTTTCACACAAAAGGTTAATTAGTTCCTCCAAACAACCTCTTGAGCCTCTTGACTTCACGGGGAGAAATGAAAGTGCCGTTGGACACAATCTCAGTTAGCAAATCATTCTGGAACAAGGCGTAGTCAGTGATCTGACCAGTCGGGTTGTCGCTGCTAAAACTCGAAAACGCCACTGCAGGTATCTTACCAATGTTATATGTGAAATGCAACAATCCTTGTGGAAAGACAAAGATATTGCCTTTCCTGAGAGTTTGGCTATAGACTCTATTTCCAAAAGTTGAAGCGACGAAACCAACAGTGATGGTTCCTTTTGTCACGAGAATGATCTCTGAGGCATCAGGATGAGAGTGAAATGGTATCACACCGCCCACCTCTATATCCGAACGAGCTATGGAGATTCCAAGACCATTCACACCAGCAAAAGTCGATGCAAAAGCAAAACTTGCATTCCAACGGAAGATGTTGGAAGTGTCGCCTTTACCAGCCAAGGAGTAAAAGAAATCCTCGGCAACCACTTGGGAAGGGTTTTTACAAGAGAAACCTGCTGGTCCATTAGGCAAACTTGGGTCTGCGACACAAAAGTCCACCACAGAAGCCTCGGTAGTGAAGGCAATGGTGGCGAGGAGTGAAAAGAACAGGAATGTATAAATGAACATCTTCATTGTCAGGTGTCAAATTTTCAACTTGACACAAATTAGGAATGTTGCACAAATCGTTTGTTCTGAAATTTGCGTCGCATTTTAAACACTCCAAAAGGAATGGACGAGATTCTTAACATTTATGTGCATACCACGACGTAGGGTTGGCTGGTTAGGGCATCAATAGCGTGGCTTTTTCTTCGTGCAAGTTGATAATTTTGGCAGCGAACAAAATACTCCCTCCGTCCCATAATTATTGTCCACTTTGCTCAAAAAATTTTGTCCCAAAATTATTGTCCAATTTGACTTTTTATGGATCAAGTTACGCATTTGTCCTTAGTAAAAAACATTATCTATAAAATTTTTGTAGTTAAACAGTTACTTATGTAGGGGTATATTCGGTTATTCAAGGTAAAATATAGTTAAGTTTGACAAAAAATAAAATCTTTCATTTTAGTAAAACTGGACAATAATTATGGGACGGAGGGAGTATTAAGTTAGCATTTAAGAAAAGCTACAACAGCGTCCATTTGCAAGAAGTCTATTGATAATATCAATCTGATTACACAAATACTTGACTTCAACCATCCATGAGGAAGAAGATTCAAAACCGATTGACAGACATAAGACATTCTTGATGGAAAACAAAGACAATGCATCATTTATTTTCTTTCTGAAAGCATATATCTAATTAACCTGACTCATATTTGTTGATAGAGAAGTCGTTGATGAGTTAATTTATGTCAATGTTGTCAGTATCTTCCATCATAATTTATCTTCCGTTGGTAGAAATTTAATTTTGTGTTTCTGTTGTATTTATCATCTGTAGTCATCTCATGATGCAGGTCTACCTACATATGTAACATTGTAAACTCAATACAATCGCTTCTCTGACTATTTGCGACTCCGAGGAGCCCTTTAAGAAGGAATTTTTGAGCCTAGGAGTAACAGAAATCTTTGGCAACCACTTGAAAAGGAATTTTTGCAAGAGAAACCCGCAGGTCCTTTAGGGTTTAGGCGCAGAAATCCACCAGTGCAGCCTCATTAGTAGAGGTGACGATAATGAGCAGTGAAAAAAAAGAAAAAAGAAACATCTTCATTTTGTTAGACGGTCATTGACTAAATTCTGAAAATAGTCCTCCACATTAGGCCAAATGCACATATTGATCCTTTACATTAATATTTGGCTAAAATAACCCTCTACATTTCAGAATATAACTTTTTTGGTCCTTTTACACTATTCATACAATTTGACCAGATTTAGTATCAAGTTAACATGGGTATTTCTGGAATAATTTTTTTTATATTGAATAAAATACTATTATAAATATTAAAATAATTAATTTAATAAAAAATTAAGATTTTAAATTATATATTAAAATAGTTAAAATTAAAATTTAATTTCTTAAAAAAGAATTCTTTTTTGTTATTATTTTTTAATGAAACCTACTATGTAAATCTAGTTCTCTACAATGATAAGTGAAAAATTATCCGAAATAAAAATAAGGTTTGAAGATAATCTTAAATTTTAACTTAATTAATTTTTTTATGTTAGAGATTTTCGTAAGAGTAATATTTTTACTTCATCGCAACCTTTCCAAATTAAAAATAATATAAATTTGTGCAAAAAGTACAATTTTTTCATTTTCGTTTCAGAAATTAAATTTTCATATTTATTATTTTAATATCTAATTCAAAATCTTAATTTTTATGACATTAATTATTTTAATATTTATAATAGTATTTTATTCAATATAAAAAAATTAAAAAATAAAAAAAGTTATTCCGAAATACCCATGTTGATTTGATACTAAATCTGGTCAAAGTGTATAAATAATGTAAAAGGACAAAAAAATTACATTTTGAAATGTAGATGACCATTTAGCCAAATGTTACTGTAAAGGACCAATAAATACATTTGGCCTAATGTAGAGGACTATTTTCGGAATTTAGTCATGTTCATTTCACGGAGTGGATTAGGATAGTCGCGCGAAAAATTGGTCTGCTTTTTTCATTTTCTTGCATTCGCGTCGCGCTTTTTATACGCATTGAAGGGAAAGGGATGAGATAATTCACATTTATGTGCCTGCTTCTTAGGGTTGGTTGGTTTAGGGAGTCTATATGGTGGTATTTCTTTTGGTCCAGCTTCATAATTTTGGCAAATTGCCTACCACATTACTTTCCCTTATTTGTTTATTATTGTTAGCAGATAGTTTTTGGCAAATAAAACTTTTTGCAAGTTGGGCATTTAAGAAAAGCTATCTCAGTAGCAAAGTGATCCTTGAAAGGGGGAAAAAAAAAAAACAAAAACACTACACTTGAATCAATCAATTACAGACATTCTTCTTAACGAGAAATGAAGACTGAAAATCATAATTTTCTTCCTGAAAACAAATTAATTAAACTGACTCAAATTTTGTTGAAAGAGGAAGACATTATTAATCTTCTGAGCTTAATTTGTGCCGCCAAGGACTCCCTTGAGCTTCTTGATCTGAGCAACATCGAGGAAAGTTGTTGTCGCGACGATTTCTGTTGGCAAATCATTCTTGAAGAAGGCGAAATCAGTGATCTGTAAACCCGGGTTGGCACTGCTGAAGCTGACAAAGGCAATGGAAGGAATCTTGCCAGAGTTGAACTGGAAATGCAGCAACCCTTGCGGGAAAACCATCACATCACCTTTGTTCAAAGTCTTGAAGTAGACTTTGTTATCAAAGGAAGAGATGAAACCGGCGCAGAGTGTGCCCTGAATCACCACCAGGATTTCTGATCCTCCAGGGTGAGTGTGGAACGGTATAACACCCCCCACCGCGACATCCAAACGCCCGATGGATATGTCGAGGCCATTCACGCCGGGGAATGTGGGCGAGAACGCCGGGGTCACCGCGGCCTTAATGATGTTAGATGTGTTTCCGGCAGCTCCCAGATAGTAGACAAAGTCGTCCACCGTGACAGCGGCCGCCTTCTTGCATGGGTAGCCTGCAGGGCCAACAGGCAATGCAGGGTCTGCGACGCAGAAGTCTAGGACTGAAGCTTGAGTGGTGGCAATTAGGAGTGAAAAAATGAACAAGGTTTGGAGGAACATCTTTGAGAAAGATATAGTTATAATCACTCAGGGAAATGTAGATATTTTCTTGATGTGAAGACTTATGAATTTGAGAGATTGTAGGTTGTTATATAGACACAATGTGATTGATAGTGGAAGGATTTTCTTGGTGTAAAACCAATATGGGTTGGAAGAGATAAGGAGGGGTTAGAAGGCGTTTCACATGCATGCAAGAAATATTGAAGAGAGGAAGACAGGACAGGTTATGGGGCTGTGCTGCATGTGAATTTTGCATGTTTCATTTCGACAAATACAAAATGCTCCTTTTGGTTTCATGTTCAATTGTTAGCTGTAGCAATTCAATGAGAAGCATATTCTGTAATTTATGAGGTATCAACTCAGGGAGGGGGGAGCTTGTATACATAATCTTCTTTGACCCTCGATCGACTATTGTTAAGTGTCTAGAAGTGTTTGCTGTGGACGAGCATTATATTTCGGACAAAATTCCCTATTTCAATGAGAAATAGTTTGAGCGTGATATGTGTTACGATGGAAGTTATAATTAACTCATAGTTTGTATAAGAAAAGAAAAGAAAGGCTTTATATAAATGCGTTTGATTTCATGCTCGAAATGGAACATCCCGCTAGGTTCTTCACATCCTACAGTAGTTTTGAGATATTTTATGATATTTAGATATTTTAAGATGAAAATATCATTGCAAAGTGGTCCAAGATGATCCTATAGAACGATAGAATGGAAGGCCGAAAAAGCACATTTTGACAGCCCAAAAAAGTAAGTCTCTGGCATTCTGGAGGACCTCTTGTCACTATGTTTGTTTGTTGGATTGGGCAAGAATGGAACGTATGGATCTGGTAACTTCCCTATCCTTAAGGGCATCAATCACTGGACCTCTCTTATCCCGTAAAAGTGAAAAAGTTTATTAGGATTTTTGGAAACTTGTCTTGCTTACATTAGTGACAAAAACTTAAACGTTTAAATCACTTGCATTCTTGCAGTGTTTCAATTAACCTCTATGGCGTTATCTTGAAGAAATGGATTATACTTTAATCTCCCAGTGATTAATAATAATATACGAAAGGTTTGTAGTATAATTCTTAAGAAATTGGCTAGTTTTTATAAGAAATTGGGAATTTCCCAAGTTTTTTAGTCCATCAAGTGGCGTTCGTTTGTGGCTGGAATGCAATGTTATAACATCAGAATTTTTCACTCGCTTAACATTACAGTTTAATTTCATGAGACATTTGGCCTCTTCCACTATACCCAAAAAAAAAAAAAGAGGCTGAATGTGCTACTCATATTAAACTTGGTTGACTTGAATTTCGTTAAATATTTTTAAATTAATTCTTCGATCACAAAAAAAAGTAATCTATGTTGCGCTTTCAAATTTATAATACTATTTTATTATAAATTTAAAACTTAATCTAGATTATTTTTCTAGAATGGAGGAAGTATATAGAATTCATGAACCGATAAATATGTCTTGAAACGTGTAAGGCTGTGTATTAGAGCTTTGAAAAAGCTGTTAGATTCTTGTGTATTAATTAAATTTGTGTTTCGTGACACATTATTGGATTTGACTAATTCCTCACATATGTGAATGTGATGGTTTGATTCATATGATTGCCATGATTGTCTATGCAATTAGGAGCGTACTCATGTAGTAGGTTTCTTTGAATTTGAACGTGCTTCCTTAACAAGTTCGTGCCACTTAAAGTTGATACGGACTACTTTAGGATATCGTACCAAATTTTTGTTACGCTGGTTTTAAAATAATAATAATAATCAAAATTTCTTGTTTCCGGGAAGGAATGACACACGTTTATCATTATTTATTCAAGGTTAAATAGCATATCAAATTCACATAATCTTATGTACCGAAACGCTTGGTACGCCAATTCAAGACATGTTTCCCTATTTTTATATGAGTGTTTATTAAGGGTATTTTTAGTTCCTTGTAAACCTATACAAGTGACCTTTTAATTATATAGGAGAAATAAATCGTTCTAAATAATTTTGGGTGTGAAAGAGTTCATACATAAAAATAAAATCTGACAGGTTAGAACTTTCTTTGTTTCAAAATAATATTCTTCTCTAAAGAATGTATTATTGTGTTCGATTTAATCCAAAAAAAGAAAAAAGAATGTATTATTGTGAGTCAAATTGACTCACTAGATTGGGCACATCATTCATATCTTTTCTGTAGCTTTTTGGTGTCCGAATTGATTTAATTGATGTTTGACCAACAAGAGTAACAATCCAGCAGGCTGAAAACGCATACAAATAATAGAAAGAGAACAGTAGCTTTGCCTCCCGGGAAAAGGATCTATCATTTCAAATTTTGTTGAAATAGTAATTTGGGACACCGGATATATATAATTAAAAAAAAAAAGAAAATATTACATTTGTTTATAAAAAGTAGACCATATTGAGTTTTACATCATTCATTCTATTATTTTTTAAATATATATTACAAGCACTTAACTTATTACATGTGTAATTAGTACAATTCATAAACTGAAATTAGATAAACTAGTTAGATACTTAGTAATTATTTAAAGTCATGAGACAAGTAGTTACAAAAACGTAAATTGTAGCTTTTTGGAGGAAAAAAAGTAGTTAATTTGCTATTTATTTTTTAATTGTTTGCTAAAAGATTTCTCCAACGAGTTAAACAAAAATAATTTTTTTAGCTACATATTATATGTGTAAAATTATTTGGAAAACATTTTTAAAATTATATTGCACTTGTATCAATTATTAGTATTAATTTTAATGTGTGAATTTTTTTCCCTTATATTATGAACGCCTCCAGAGTTTCAAACCTAGTTCTGAACCTACGTGAACTTACCGCTTGAGCAAATCCACTTCCCTTCATTATACCACTTAAAACACCACCCCCCACACACACACACACACAAAAACTAGTAGCGATTGATGCGGTATACTTTCTGGTGCTGGAACGCCTATAAGCCTGGTGGTTTGTCTGGAGGTTTTATTTTTACACTGTTTAATGAGAACCAGAAGCCTAATGAAGTATAATGAAATTTTGGTTTGTTCTATCCTGAAGATAAGACCCAATTAGAGTTAGAAGTTTAAGTTAATGGATACCCGTAAATCTTATTTATCAATTGTTTCACATATCTTCACATTTTCAATGTAGAATTCACAACTTTTGTTACTTGACCTTCAACAAGTACGTACGATTTTGCTTTAAAACTTTTAAGTATTGTTAATGATAATAAACTTATAAAAGTTTGTCCGTAAGAATTTTCAAAATCGATGAGATCATAAATTTTTAACGTAATCCAATCCACATAATATATTTACCCAGAAGTTTGTTTCTTAAATGCAAAAGATTTTTTAATAATTTTTTCTTGCTTAGTAACAGAGAAGACAAATGCCAAAAATCTCAAAACGATAAATTTGAGTGAGTAAAATCGTGCTCCTTAATAAATGAGCATTTCATGGGGTGAAAGAATCGGATAGGATAGTAAAATAAAAGACGTATTACTAAGTTTACAATACAAATTACATGTCTATAACTGAACCATATAATCTATTTACGAAATGTTAGGCTTTAACCTCTTCTTTTGTACGAAAAAGAAAATGTATGTAATTGAAAAGAATGAAATAAAAAAATTCACCAATAGCAAACATTTCTAAATTATAACAACCAAATTCTAATTTCTCGCCGTTTTGCTGTACAGTACAATAATATTTCAGAGAAACCGTACCCAAAAAATTAGAAGTAGATGGTAGCCAAAATTCAACAAACAGGTATGCAAGAATATAACATTTGTTTTTTCCTTCATTAAATATGAAGGAAAATTTCAACAACCTTTAAATATAGTACTCCTCCTTCCACAATTTTTTTTTTTAAAAAAAATACAAAACAGAATAATTATTTTGAGATGGAGAGTGAATCATTTTCAATATTTATAAACCAAATTCCGGTTGTGAAATGAATAATCATGTTGTAGTGAAATGAAATTTTGAATATGGACCCTTTTTGAACATGAACTACGCATCCAAGGAATATAATCACCATCTAGCCACTAATTAATCAGCTACCAGACTTAAGCCATACAGGTAAAATCAAGCTTAACAGGTTTGAAATCTTATTTATAGAATCTTTTCTATAATCTAGCAGACTTTAAACTCATTTATTCCACCCCTAACAAACTCTTGTTTGTATCCATTAACTCTTAATCTGGTATTCTAAATGTCCCAACAAGTGGACTCAACTATAAATTAAATTCATGTTATGACAATGAAGACATGAATCATTTGATCAAACATCACAACCTCAAAAGCAGGTGATTAAAGCCATGGCATCCTTAAGGGCTTTCCTTGCTATTTGTTATCCCATGGTGCTTTTGCTAAGTGTAAATTTCCCCATTTCACAAAGCATAGGCATAAATTATGGATTGCTGGGAAACAATCTCCCACCAGCTTCAACCGCAGTCAACCTTTTCAAACAAAAAGGCTGGACCCAAATCAGGCTGTTTGATCCAAACCCGAATGCCTTAACAGCCCTAAAAGGCAGCGGAATACAAATCATATTAGGCACAAGAAACGAAGATATCACAACCCTAGCTTCCAGCGTCGAATCCGCAACGGCCTGGTTCAACACCTACGTTCAACCCTACCTCGAAAACAACATCATTTCTTACATCACCGTCGGAAATGAAGTCATCCCGGGAACCTCATCGGACTCGATCCCGGCGGCCATGGGAAACCTCCACACCGTCTTACGGAGCCGGCAAATCATGGAGACGAAAGTGAGCACCGTGGTGGCCACAACGGTGCTCGCGAACAGCTACCCGCCCTCGGCCACCGTGTTTTCCACGGCGGCCCAAGGCACAATGACGAGCGTGTTAAAAGTCCTGTCGGAAATTGGTTCACCCCTGATGGTCAATGTGTATCCTTACTTCGCGTATGCATCGGATCCAGCAAACATAAAGCTCGAATTTGCGCAGTTTACGTCGACGGCGCCGGGTTTTAAAGACGGGGAACTGAGCTATTTCAACCTGTTTGATGCCATGGTTGACGGATTTCATTGGGCTATAGAGAAATCGGGTTACGGAAGCGTGAATTTGGTGGTTGCGGAAAGTGGTTGGCCATCGGCCGGAAATGGCGCATTTACGAGCGTCGAGCTGGCGAGGAATTACAACAATAAGTTGAAAGAACACATAGGCAGTGGTGCTGGAACGCCGAAGAAGCCAGGTGGTTTATCTGAGGGTTTTGTTTTTGCGCTGTTTAATGAGAACCAGAAGCCTAATGAAGTTGAACGAAATTTTGGTCTCTTCTATCCTGATATGACCCCTGTTTATGATTTTTAAGTTTGGACACTTTGATATTTGTAATGTCAACGAAATACTTCCGTTGAAATAGAGAAATACGTACTGCTTCCATCACTTTTTTGTTTTTTTTTTTGTTTTTTGTGTGAAAATTTCCATAATCTACAAAAAATCACCATTGGTCCTTTGCAACTTCAAAATGCGTCGACTTGTTTGTTGACTTACATAAGTCGACGAATAAGTCGATGAATCTAAGTTTCACTTTGAAAATAGTTGCAATGAGATTTTACATTGATATGAATGTCCAGATAATAAGAATACTAAAAAGAAATCATAACAGTAAAGTTTTTTTTTAAAAAAAAGAAGAAAAACCTTTGTACAACTTTAATATACATCACATCTTTATAAATGTTCTTAATAAAGTTCTTTCCGACCATAAAATTCTTTTGAGAAAACAAAGCTTATCCTAATATGTAGGTTAGTGCTTAATCCTAATCAGTGATAATTAGATTCACAATATCTATCCATTACTCCAAATAATTATATGGAGATTTATCAATAATATCATTTTTGTTTCTATAATTTCATTTTGTAATTACTGAACAATTATAGTGTCTACTATTACCTATAAATAACTAGTTCTAGTCTGCAATAAATTAGGCGTTATTCATTCTTTGGTATGTAAGATTAATTCTTAATTTCAAACAATATTGCTCCGGAGTTTTGAATCTATTTCTTCATCATTCTTTTGGAAAGCTCGAGGGTGCGATCGTACACAGCTCAAGCATACGTCCAAGTTAGTGAATTCCACAACCTCGAGTCTTTTCTATGGACTCCATTTTGTTTACTTTTGCCTCATTTTTATGTCTTCACTCTATAATTAATTTGATGCCTTAATCCGTGCATTTTGATTCTTCATCTTTGAAAACTCTAAAACATTATTCATCAAATAGATATGCAATTAAGGACGGTGATCAATTTTAAATCGAATGGTTTGTGATTTTGGTTTGAGGTGGAAATCGTTATTGTTATCGTAAAGTCATTGTTCAAATCTTCATTGAGACGATATGTTTCTTTATTTCTTTTAGGAGAAAAAAAATGAACGTTTAGTTTCAGGGGTGGACATGGTTATTTGAGTTAAACATGAGCTCTTTGGTTAAATAATCTGATTTTTTTAATGATTACTTAAATTTGATGACTAATTTAAACTATAATAACGATCGAGATGAAAAATATTAGGAATTCTTTTGGTTGATGATACAAGTTTGGTGTCCTCTGCCGTGACATATTTAGCAATTATTTTATTTGTTTATAAGACTTTATATTTCGTTTTAATTAGCTATTAATGTAATTTTCTCACTTAACTTGTTGTATACTCGATTAATTAATTTCCAATATTTCAGGTGGACAAACAAGACAGATATACATCATGCCTCGAACGACCTCGTACCGCGCAACTTTCTTGATTGTGACAATAGTAACCACGCTATTCAACAACAGCCATACCGTTGTTTTTGGAGTGCAGCCACTGGCCGGACTAGACATCGGAGTCAACTACGGGATGACGGCAGACAATCTTCCTCCGGCGAGTGACGTTATCAACCTCTACGTACAAAACAAGATCACCAAAATAAGGCTGTTTGACCCGAACCCGGCTGCCCTGCAAGCACTCAGGGGAACCGGAATTCTGGTTTCCTTAGGAATGAAGAACGACGATATACCAAACGTAGCTTCCGGCATTGAAGCCGCAACACAATGGTACGAAACGAATATTCTCCCGTATCAAAACGACATCCTCTGGGCTTACATTACCGTCGGAAACGAGGTCCAAATCCCCGGACCGTCCGCCGGACAAATCGTTCCGGCGATGAGAAATCTGCGGTCTGTTCTCGACAATCACAACCTGAAAACCTTGTTCGTCACCACGGTGGTTCCGACCACCGTCCTCGGCACCTCGTTCCCGCCGTCGGCAGCCGATTTCTCACCGGAGGCGAAACCGACACTTGTCGGAATCGTCCAATTCTTATCCGAAACGAATGCTCCTTTGATGGTGAATGTTTACCCGTATTTCGCGTATGCATCCGACCCGGTTAACGTGCGGTTGGATTACGCCCAGTTCACCGCGACCGAACCCGTGGTTCGCGACGGGAATCTGAGCTATTACAACCTGTTCGACGCGATTTGCGACGCGTTCACGTGGGCGATTGAGAAACAGGGTGTGAAGAATGTGGGTATTACGGTGTCGGAAACCGGGTGGCCGTCGGCCGGAAACGGGGAATTCACGACGCCCGGTTTGGCGGAGACGTATAATAAGAACCTGTTGAAGCATGTCATGGGTCGGGTTGGAACGCCGAAGAGGCCTGGAGCTTACGTCGATACATTCATTTTCGCCATTTTCAATGAGGATCTGAAGCCGGCTGGGATTGAACAGAATTGGGGACTTTTCTACCCGAATTTGCAACCTGTGTATCAGATATTTAATTAAATTGATACTTGGGGTCCTTCTGATGTAGTAGTATACTTTCACTACACTTTCACTACTAAAGAATAAAGATCAATAAAAAGATTCATTGACAGAAGAAATTAAGCTTACAAAATCATTACATTAATGAGCAATGAGAAGAAATACAAATGAAAAATCTCCAAACCAAAAGACTGATGAATTTCTTCATAACCTAAAGCACTTTGCTGTAATAAAACACTTCTAAAGTACTGATCCAAAAGGACCAAATTAAAATCACATATGGGTTCCTCCAAAAATCCGAGATTCATCCTCTGCGCTTAAGCAAAAGAAACAGGTTCACCTGCTTGTCAATTCGAGCACAATACGGCGTCTCGATGAAACTTTTAAGTTTCTTAGGGTACCTTTCGAAGATTTCATCAGTGAGCTTAGGACCAAAGTGTTCAGAAACGATGCCTTCTAAGATTGCTCTCCCGTGTATGCTCAACATTTGCGAGTGACCGGGAGTCTTAGGAATTTTCGGATAATGTATTTCCTGGAACATCTCAATGCTGAGACTATTGTTGCTCGAAATCACCTCTTTTACTTCAGATTTGGATGGAATGAAGATTGGAATGTTGAAAGAGTCTGCAAGATCTTCACCTATGACACCCTGAGTGCATGAAAAAACAAAACTAGGTGACATCAGCGCTGTCGTTTAACAAATTGGATTATTTTTTTGAGACAGAATTAATGCAGATTAGTTAGGAGGGTAAAATTAAATAACCTCTTTGACAGCATCAACTAGTGCATCACCTAAACACTCAAACATCTGCATATAAATTGCGTCCGGAGGCAAAGTGTCATCCGGCCTGGCCATCATGAGAATCGCTAATAATCCACCCGGGGCGAGTTCCACTGATCTCGCTTTGAGGAAATCTTTCAAGTCATTGGAAAACTGGTCTCTGAAAGCATTAACCACCGGAATAGAACTCTTTACGTACGTGATTCTCCCTTTGTTCCACGAGGGAGAATCCCTTCTCGTAACCTCTTGGGGAACTCTTTTGAGCCAATGAAGTGAGGTAGAACAATGCATCAAGTTCATTGATGATTTCGGGAACAATCGACCGTAGAAAGAGCCTGGAACTCCAGCTGCCGTGTATTCCCTTCCCAAAGGAAGAGCGTTGAATAGTGTATTGAAATCATTGTCAATTTGATCATTGAAAAACACGTGAAACTCTGGAAGCATTTCATCATCATTGGTATTAAGTGCATGATCCTCAGAAGTTTTGTACTTGTGCTTCACTGCTTCTATGATGGTATTCACACAAGAAAATGTGTTAGGACCTGTGGAACACCCAAGGTCTGCTATGGAAATGACCTTGGAATGCTCTTGTATTTCAAGTGATTCTTCAATTCCATTTCTTAGGAGAACCTTTGCACCATCAAGGATTTGTTCCTGGTTAACGTGACGTGTATGTTGTTAGTTCAATAAAGTGGACTATTCTGATGAGACGCAACTGAGTATTAATATTGATTGAGCATGCTAGAGTTTTTGAAAAAAAAAAAATCAAAGCAAAAATACCTGGAGCTTGGAATTTTTGAAGTAGCTCTTTGGACCATCGCCACCATTCATTACAACTGAACTTTCCATTTTCTTTCTTACTTGTGTGCTAGTTTTCTCAAATGCAAACAGAGATCTTTACAATAAGCTGCATTGTGATCCCTTTCTTCCCTTGCTATTTATAGTACTGGGATTTCAACTCTCAGAACAATTTCTATTGTGAATGAATGACCGAATCAAATCTTACTTTTTTCAAACATAATAATGACTGAACAAAATCTAGACGAAGTATACTGCAAATTCAAAAGCAGCCATGCATTATTTAATTCTCGTGGGATTTTTTTAGTACGATTTGAACTGAAAATGAAAATCCCAACTGAATAATAATTTCTAGATTGAGGGGATCTTTAATGTTGCTATTGCTTTATTAGAAAATTGGAAAAAAAAAAAACTGACATTTCTGTTTGAAACCGGCCGTGTATCATTAAAATTAATACTCTAATCAAATAATAAGATACTCCATCTGTCCCAAAATTATTGTCCAGTTTGAGATTTCACTTTTAGTATAAATTAGAACTAAAAATGAAAATCAAAACTGGACAATAATTATGGGATGGAGGGAGTACGTGTTAATTATATAAGTACTGTCGGAAAAGATTTTTTGCCTTTAAAAAATTAGCTTAAAAAAAATAAATCTTCATGTTCATTGCTCAAATTCTCTGGTCATTTGAACCAAAAAAATAAATAAATAAATAAAAGAAATTGAACCAAAAATAATAATAAAAATTATAAAAAAATAAAATTCTCTGGTCATTGGAATTTGGAAAGTGGAAACGTGCAACTATCAATTCGCGTTCAAATGTGCAGTGTGAACCAAATAAAGCTAACACAGCACCTAACTTGAGGACTACCTGTGGAAAACATCATGATTAATCTGAGAGTAATTATAAATGGAGCACCAAATTAAGTAAGCTTTAGAAAGCACACACTTCAGGGTCACCGTCCTAATCCAGCTTTAGGATACCCAGACATTTCTTTTTCTTCGATAAATTGTAGGTATCTCGACAAATCGTAGGACACCAGGGGAAGTGATGAAGTTTGGAAATGATCATGGCTGAGAAATGAACATGAATATTCATGTATTCCTGTTAACATTAACCACTGCACTGTATGCATTTCTTACAGCTGTGTTTGGTAGTTCATACACGCCATCAGCTGAGAATTTTGCTGCCGAAGCAAAAAAGGCAAAAAATCGTTGACATTAATGATCAATATTAACCCTCACTCTGCATAATGCAGCAAATCCGGGTAACTTTCACTTGGATTATGCTCAGTTCATGGCAACTGTTGTCAATGGAAATCTGAAATCCAGGTAACTTTCACTTGGATTTTGTTCCAAGTTCGGATAATTTGATAAATGCTCCATAACAAAAGTTTATTACTAAAAGGAGCTTCTTTTGTAACTCTGTCAAAGCCTCAAAGGATTACATACAATAATAGAACTATTTATCACTATGCCAGATTACTCTTACAATTACAGGCGGGAGAAAGGTGTATCCATGCTCAGGAAAGGATAATCTGTGAAACCTACAACAGGATCATGGGTGTAAAATGTAGCTCGATTGTACCTAGTCAGAGGAGCATTTAGCTTTAGGCGCAAAGGTAAATCCGGATTCGAGATGAAAAGGCGGCCATATGAAACCAAATCAGCGTCACCCTGAGCCACAGCTTCAATTCCAAGCTCTCTCGTGAATCCACCACTGGAAATGAAAGTTCCTTCATAAGCTTTTCGACAAGTCCTCACTAGCTGAGCTTCCTCCTCTTCGCTTCCATGTCTACCTGCTTCTGTCTGCCCGTAAGCAGTGTATCTTGGTTGAGTCATATGCAAATATGTGAGCTTGGATCCCAAGTCCTTCTGAAGCTTGTTAAGTCTCTCGATCACAGCGAGGCCGAGGCTTAAGGGATCAGAGTCCATGGCGTCAAGATGGTCAATGGCAGGCGAGATTCTAACACCTACACGGTCTGCACCAATCGCAGAAACAACAGCTTGAACCACCTGCATTATGAATTTACACCGATTTGCAAGGGTTCCACCATATACATCAGTCCTATCATTGATTCCGTCTTTCAAGAATTGGTCAATGAGGTAGCCGTGAGCTCCATGGATTTCAATACCATCAAAACCTGTTGGAGATAAAAATAACAAGTTTGGAATTAAAAGAGGAAAGAAACAGGAACAGGTGCCTGTTTGAATTGGTGCAAGACATATATGATCACAAATTCACAGGTACAGTCAATAAAGCAAGAAAGAGGCCATGAAGCTCTTTGAGAAAGTGTCACTAGCATGATCAACTTAGTTTCCTGAGTGGATTGCTAGCAAATAATCAATGAATTACAAGAACTGGAAGTAATGCTATAAAGCAACATCCATCATCAGTAACGAAACATTTCAAGGGTCACATATAAGTACTGGAATGTACAGCTATGTGTGCTTATAATCATCAAACATAAACAAAGCTTCAAATACTTTATAGCGAGTGTCGCCTATGAAAATTCAGGTTCTAGAATTTGTACGCCAATCCCATATCCCCGCCTTTTCACCATCATCATCTATACATTCATTTCTGGATAACATGGTTTGATGCAAATCATATAGTCGAATGCCACATTTCTCATAACGACCTTAATTGAGAATGAGTCAAATTTGCAAACAAAGCATAGCATTGATGAACAACAAAAGACTTTTACACGATTGCCAACTTATGTTTCACAAAAAGAGAGAAGCTGCCGACTAACCTGCCTCGATAGCGTTAAGGGCTGCACGACGGTAATCTTCCACCACTTCTGCAATCTCATCTACAGTCAATCGATGTGGTTTTGGGTACATGCCATGAGTGGCATCAGGCATCAATATTCTCCACCTCTTAGATATGGGCTTGTCAGTGGATGATAAAGGTGCAGCACCACCAGGTTGATAAACTGAAAAGAGCATCAAGCAAAAATTGGTGGTCAGTGTTTCAACTCTGCAACAAATTTTCCATTCATCTCTCCTTTAGCAAAACTAATAATCATTACTATCTCCATTGCCACATTCAATAATTAGCTTTAAAAAAACTCAATCTTTCATGAAATGTCTAAATCAAAGCTGGCTATTCTTCCTAGATATGCTAAAACCAAAGTATAAGTTATTTACCTGGATGAGAGGCACGGCCAACATGCCATAGTTGACAGAAGAAGACAGCACCCTTAGCATGGACTGCATTAACTATGGGCTTCCATGCCTCCACTTGTTCCTTGGTAAAAATTCCCGGGACATGGGGAAATCTGGACCCACATCTCAAATGTAAGAAAAATCAACCCTTTCTAGATTACAGATTTTTGTTGTATAAAATATTTTGGGAAATAGTGGAAATTCAAGAATTACCCGGCAGCAGTTGGGGAGATCATAGTGCCCTCGCAGATGAGAAACCCACCATTGGTAGCTCTTTGGGAGTAATACTCTGCCAAGGCTGGCTGAGGAATGCTATTTATCGCCCTGCACCTCGTCATTGGAGCCATTACCACTCTGCCACCACCCAAGAAAAGGGAAAAAGAAAAAAGGGTTTGATTAAAAGTAAGCAGAAATACTTCACTAAGAATCTGGAATCAGTAAATTAAACAAAGATTGCATTTTTATCAAGAGTTCAGCTGCTGTAGAGAGATATAATGGAATACAAAAAGATTACCAACCTGTGAGAAAGATTAAATTTTCCCATCTTAAAAGGGGAAAACAGAGATGGGCTGTTTCCTTGATCGGAGTTGGTTTCAGCAGCCATGGATGATCCTCTTGAGTGACTCACTGGAACAATTGAAGGGAACCCAAAAAATGATCAGCTGGGATGTAATGCTTATAGAGTTTGAGCTGCAAATTAAAAACGAAGTAGAAAATGGTTTGAATTTGATGTTGAAGATCACTACTTTATTGAGTTGTGGTTGGCTAGATAATTGCAGGGATCTAGGTGCCCATCAAATGAGCTGAGTGCTGACGGCTGAGTGGTCAATTTTGAAAGTGGGCTGTGGGGATTGAACTATTGAAGTTGCCAAAGTAAGCGAATAATCAAGACAAGGAATTAAGGTTGTTACGTAGTAGAATAGTGTTAGTAGAACTGTAGAAGTATATACACTACTAAACTAGAAAGAAAGGACACGATTTTCACGGTGGGAAAATGTGGGGATATTTTGGCCGGACTCGTTGACCACCGGCCTCTTCCAAAATGTCATCCTTCCTATCTGATATTTCTTGGTTCTTGCCTCCGTCCATAGTGAATTTTTTTACTAGTACTAATTTAGAGCGTGCGCTTTATTGGTTTCTATTTTTTGTTTATCCCCCAGTCTTATTTACACGCTCTCAAAATTTTTATAATTTCGTGTCCAATAAATAAAATAAAGTAAACTGTATTCGTATCTGAAATATAAAAAACTTTTAATTAAAAAAATAAAGAATTTTTAATTTAAGAAAGACAATAGACCAAAATGTTCATCATAATCTGCTATAAACATTTTGCATGAAATCTTTAGGGCTATATTCATTTTTTAAGATTCGGTTTACGTTTTGAAGGAAGTTAGTTCAGTTATAAAAACACACTAGATGCTTGGCCCGGGCGGATGCCCGGGCGATCTCCTAAAATTTATATTTATAATTTTCATATATTGATAGAAATATGTATATATGTGAGATAAAATAAGATTATTTCAAACGTGAACGACAAAGTGTATATAATTGTACTTCACACTTAGTAAATGAAAATTCAACAAAACAATCCCTATTCCGTCTTTTTTTTTTCGCATAAATAAAAAAAAAAAAGAGAACATGCGAAGATAAATTTCCGATGAAGAGAAGACGCCTTCGCTCAAGTAGAATTCTCGAAGATCTCGTTCAACACCATGAGCCTCAAAAATCTATTTGGATCTCATAAGTTCTTCCAAGGCTGCCAAGTCTTTCTATGCTATAAAATGCATTCGGAAATACCAAGGTGGCACTCAAAAACTTCGTTTTAAAATTGATAAATACAAGAAGCATAGAAATGGAGAACTACATTCAACCGGAACAAAAACTAACAAAACATGGGCCAGAACATATGTAACAATCCAGCCTTTGATATACTAATACTTTGATGTTCGCTTGATTCATGAATACTCATCCTGGAAAAAGAGAAGAATGTATTAATAACAGTTTGTGCAATGTGACATAACTTTTTTGATACAATGTGATATATCTTTTTTGAATATAAATAATACGAAGCATAAATCAACATCAAATTTGAGAACGCCCAAAGAAAAAGTTTAAAAAAAAAACATTGATCTGCATTGCAATTGCTTGTGAATCTTTTCCTGTAATAGAGCCCTCATATCTTTCCTATTAGAAAGTCAATCAACGGCAGACCACTATCTTGAGCCATCTGTTGATAAAAATGAGTTGTATACATGAAATGGCTGCCCCTGAAGCAATGAAGGGAGCTTGTAACCCCAGCCTATTACTGACATGCCCACACATGACATGCCAAACAAATTGTTAAACTGCAACACTCTTAAAAGATCAAGATACAGGATTCAACTATCTAACAACAAAGAATCTGCTAAACTATATGATCAAATGGAGAATTCCTGTAAAATGAATTCTTTAGAGTAGCCGCTGCAAAAAGTTTCAAGCAATTAAAAAATCGGACAGTTTTTAGGATCGAAACAGTTCAACAGATGCAAGAATCTGATTTAAATAGTATTCATAACTAATCATTCCTACAAAATGTAGATATGAATTGTTTCATGTATTCTCACCATTGCTCCTACGTATTTTGGCCCTCTGCTGGCACCTTCGCTTCCAAACACAAAATTTTACCAAAACAACAAATATGATGACTCCTGAATCATAAAGCCTAATTAAATAAAAGGTTTGAATTTCTATTTAAAAAATTAAAAAAAAAACAAACAGAATCCCTCTAAAAATATGTGAATTCAAAGAAAATAAAACTAAAAAAATATGCAAATAATAATGATAAGTCATATTTTTTAATTAGAGGGATAAATCATATCCCTCTAAGAGAATGCCCAAGGGACCCCCTTTAAAAAATTAATAGAAAACTAAAAAAAATTATCCCTCTAAGAGAATGCCCAGGGGACCCCCTTTAGAAAATTAATAGAAAACTAAAAAAATATGCTACACTATAACAAAATAACAAAATAAAAAACCTCATATATTTTATCATGAATAAATAAAGAAGAGGGAATAATATCCTATCAAGGTGATCGTATTTCGGCTATTAGATCATCCTTTGGAAGAAGGAACAATGTCTCATCAACATGATTTTGATCATTATTTGTCAAAGAGGATGATAGAGTTTCATCCATTGACAGATTTTGATTGTTTAGACAATCATCAATTTGAAGAGGGAAGCATACATTATCATCCCCAGGTTGCGCTGCATTTGAAGAGGGAGGCAGGAGATCATTTTCAGCATCATTTTCATTTAACAACTTCAACTGGTGTCAGTCCTCCATTGCATGTACCTTTCGGTACACATGATTAACAATATGGCTAGTATGTACAGCTTAGTATTTCTAACTGGCCTGTTGTATTGGTTCCAAGCGAATTCAGTAATCTTACCATTCATTCTCTTGACAAATGCAGGAATATATTGGTCAAATCCAAATTGCAGCCCAACTATGTGTGGAAGATACTGTTTCACACAGACACAGTGAACCCCAACCAGCTCTGATGTTTTCCAGCATCAAACTAAGGTCTTCACTTTAGTTTCCATATCCTGATCAACATTATTTTCCCAACAACAGGATTCCTTACATAGCAATAACACTGTAATAATATTTAGAAGAACTGAAAAGTTAAGGCATGAAAGGAATTGCAGCAACTCATTAAGTTAATGGTGAAAGTTATCCAAATTTTTGGAATATCAGTCCATACTTTGGAAAGGGCTATTGAAATGGCTATTACTCTGCTAAGCTTTTGGCTGAAAACCAGGCCAAAAGACGCTCATAAAATGACATAAATGACTGAAAGAGGACACACCAAAACTTAAACTGACCAGCTAACGTTTGTTCTACATTGGATACAATCATACTTTATCCCAAAATTGACCAGCTAACGTTTGTTCTACATTGGATTCATGACAGATATGAAATGAAGTAGTACATATATTACAATTGAAATCAACTGGAAAAGAAAATGTGGACATTACAAATCCCTTTTAAAATCTTAAGCACACGGAGAATCTAATCTTACCTTCTCTCCAAGTGATCAATGTAGCAAGTTATCAATCTGACCATGCTTTGCAGATGGATACTTTCATTGTAGAAGTAATTAAGAAGCTTATGGGATTTTCAACCTAAATTGTGCATCCATTTTCTTCTTGTCCCATTTTCCCCAAGTTATAGACATTTCCTCCTTTGTCATGCTTGACATTTCTCCCAAGTTTTCCAAGTTCTCCAAGTTCTTCACTGGGCAATCATACCAACACCTGTAATCAATGATTAATGATAAATGAGAATACTTCCTATTGAATAATAAATTTCTCAAAGAGATGGATGGCATAAATGCAAGAGTTGACTGCATATAACAATAGCAAATGTTGCTTAAACAATGACCAAAAGTCTGGCCCTATACTAATGTAGAAAGAAGCTATCAAGTAGTAATACTGATTGAAGCGCATTTTCACGGCAAATGTATCAACCCAGCAGCCTCGAAAGGGCAATTCAGCTATTTCAAAGCTGAAAGTCAGCTTACCGGGAATTTTATGAGTGAAGTTTAATATCAATGCAGCGCAAGCAAGTATTGCTCCATCTGAATGTCCAAGAATCCAGATGACGGAGAGAAAAATGACCTAAAACCATACCTGATCTAGTGTCTCTAAAGAGCTGCTTATTAGCAGTCTCAACTCTCAACCTTTATCCAATGCAAGTTCCTACAATGAATTTGAAAACAAAAATTGAATTAAAGAGCCATATAGTATCACAAATGGAAGACGAATCCTAAATAATGTTTTAATTACATATACAAACCATATGAAAAAAAAGAACCACCATCGTCAATGACTACTTTTTCCTCGCAAACTGGATGTTCCAATCGTAGACATCGCCAATTGAGCTGTTAAAATCTGGCATTCTATTTTGTGACCAATGCTTGTGAACGTCGTGATTGAGCGCTTAATCTTAAGAGGATAGATTGAGTGTCCGAATCGCTAAAATGCATGTCCTATATTTTATACCTACATGAGATTCCGAAACGATAGTAAAAAAATAAAACTTTTGATTACCAAAAATACAACGTAAAATTCTACATATGAAGAATTACCTCCCGGAGATTGATCCAAGATTTAGGCTTCTTTTATTCGGCCCGAGAATAATCAAATTAAAACATGTATGCTTAGTTGTTGTGGTTGATCGTGGCTTTTCATTTCCACAATAAAGAATCAATAACCAAGTGGGTTGATCAATCACAATAAACAAAAATTCAATCACCAAACAAGACAAATAAAAAACCACAAGTAAATTTAATAGATTGATCATCAAAATCAACTCTTTGGCACTCCCCGTTAAACCTTCTCTAATCTTATTTCCCAAACAAACAAAATGGTACCAACTCAATTCCCTTCAAATCTTTACCTTTTAAAAAAATCCGAAACCCTAATCTATAAAAACCCCCGACGATTACTATTCGTACCTTGATTGCGTTCCCATGGAGATTTGTGCCTTCAATCTTTTCTTTGGCGGCTTTGATATCGTCGATTTTCATATAATACATAAAGGCATAGCTTCTTTATATCGATTGGCTCGTGCTTCACCATTAAATCAATCGGTCACTTCAAAGATTAGGTCGTCGATCCAGAGATTGTTCGACAGTGGCGGTTCTGATTAGGCGGAGAACGACGACGTCGTACATTTAAGAGGAGATATCGAGAATATTAGGGATAGTGAATTCTTTCTTCTTTTGAAATTTGAATTCAATTAAATCGAGAACAGAGGGTCCGTGGATTCTTTCTTCTTTTGAAAATTGAATTCAATTAAGCAGAGTGAATTAGGTCTGAGAAGATAATTTGGAAAATTTATTAATTGGAGTGATTTTTGGGATAATCAATGTGGATTTGAACTTTGAAGATTTCATGAATGAAGGAGATAAGGGCAACCGTATAACTTTTTTTTTTTTAAATGAAATAAGTATATGCTATTTATCTGCATTCTTATAATGCCACATGTCAGTTTTCATTTTGTACTGAAAAAAGCTTTTGGAGGGAAAATTTTGATTGTGGAACTGACATGTGTCCTTTTTGTTTACTGCTTTAAT